TGTTTGCTTTTTTTTTCCCCCAGAAATGTATAATTTTGCTGGCTCATTATCTTCATGTGAGTCACTGACAACACAGAACCACTGAATGGTTTGTGTCGGAAGGGACATTAAAGCTCACCCAACCCCAAGCCCCGGCCATGGGCAGGGATGCCCCCAGAAGCACAGCTGCCCAGCACCCATCCTGCCTGGCCTGCAGCACCTGCAGGGCTGGAGCACCCACAGCCCTCTGGGCAGCCTGTTCAGATCTTCCTCCTCTACTATCAGTAGCAATTGGAAAGCTTCCAGTTTCCATTTATTTCTTCAGTATTCATTGTGAACCAGGCTAAGCATCTTTCAAACTAAGCACAAGGGCCTTCTGTGTTTTTTACAGCGTTTCTTTTTCATAGAATAAATCTTGTTTGTTGAAGGTTCCAAAGGGCAGCTTGCATGCACTTGCACCATCTGAAAGTTGCCCTGTTAATCGTAGAAATTATTTCCCTAATACAGCTCCATATTATGTTCCTAGTTTGGTTGCTGATAAGCATAATGCTTACCTTATGACTTTTCTCAGACTACTCATTTCACATATTGTTTATCTCCAAGAGCATTTGATGCACATCCCCTTCTCTCAAAGAAATCCTCCAAGAACCTGAAGGTATTGTTCTCCCTTACTGTACTCTCTTTTCAGAATGGGTGAACAATCTCATCACTATAGATTCTCCTTACAATAAATAGTGTATGTGTTAGGGCAATGTGCTTTTTCCTAAGCCTTTCTAAAATAAAAACTTTGCCATCAATGGGGCCATTTTGTTTCTCGCTATTAAGCTTGTTTACTCATCAACAGCTGACTGTTGATGGCCAAAGATTTGATGTGTGCTGTTGCTGCATTGTTGTGTTACTACCATACAGCTATACAAAGTCACCATCAGTGTGGTAAGGGGTAGTGTGAATTCCCATTATCCTTTACCTGCTTTCCTAAGTAAGTTAATTACAAACTGTAATAAGCCAAATGGGAAAGCACAGTAATTCAACTGAGTTCCATTGAAAGAACAGTGCTGTAGCTAAGAACAGAATGGTGATTTTCCTTTCCTCTTTCAGTTCTTTACTCTTATTCTTTCCCCTTATTTGCTTCTCTAGTTCCCCTTATTAAAACATCATAATTTCTGCAGAATTATTCATATCCTCTGTTGATCTTTTATCCTGCTGTGTTTCTGCCTGCTGAGCATATCACTGTCTGTTGTTCCTCTGGCTTACTCATTACCAAGTTGATATTTTAACATAACCCTAATTTAAAAATCATCTACTCTTTCTACTGAGGGTTCCCCAGGCACTAATAAATTCTCTTTTGCTTCTTGTTCATCTCACCCTCCACTCCTACAGTATCTGTTTTCATGAGACTGAATTGTTATGGTACCACTGTCTTTCATATACACATCAGACATTTTTAGCACACAGACACTGCAAATGATTGTTAGGGCAGAACAAAATATTTAGTATGTGCTCTTGCAGGAAAGTTTAGAACAAAAGATGTTTGCAGTTACAGATCTGGAACCATGTAATCAGTTGAAGTCAATATTAGCATTTCAATCCTGATCACGTTATTTAAATTCAATTTTTTTCATCAGTATCCACTGGGCGCCGCTGGATGGAAGAAGCAATGTGTTTCTTCCTCATTCTGAGGCAGACAGAGCTATCTGACTCCATTAAGGTTACCTGAACACAAGGCTAGTAATATTTGACCCAAGGAACTGTCCATATGCTGTGTAATTGCAGCATCTTGCTCGAGGCATGTCCCTGAACTCATAGCCCATGGAGAGTGAAACATCAGAAGCAATGTGGCAGGTGAATCCAGTGTGTGAACATCCAGCTGCTTTTTTACCCCTTGTTGTTGACTAGAGTGTGTTTAGAACTGATCTCTTGTTTCTCTAACGGTTTAACCGTGATTCTGTGAAGAAGATGGTGATGTAAATTTTGGAAAGAAGAAAGGCAAGAGGTGTAAGAGGTGCCTGTGTAAACTGATCATGTAAGATAATGAAATGTGCAGGGATTTGTAATACAACAAGAGAGTAACTCTAAACAGGAAATCCTATGTTGTGCAACATTTAGTCTTTGTAATGCCTGACTGCATCTTTACTGGGAAACTGTATAACAAGTAAAACTCAATCTGTTCACAAATAAATATGTTTACGTATAGGGTAAAACACCAGGATTGTTAATTCTCATTCACAGTGCATACTGATAATCAGCTGGTGTGAAAGAATTTCCCTCTGCATTGCATGACCAGAAAATCAGATGCATTGTTAAGTGTACCACTTCCTCTGAAATACTTTGTGTTGCAAGAAACACAAGGGAAGCAGGAAGCAGGAGATGGACTGATCATATACCTAGTCTGGTATAGCAATTCAAGCATTTCTGCATAACTACAATGTAAACCATTTCTATATAACTTACTTGTTATGATTGGTTCATTTCCACTTATTGGTCCCAAATTTGCTTTTTTTTCTGCTTAGCATTTCTTCATCCAGAATGGTATAAAGAAACAATTTGATTCAACATCCAATGGTAAGCATCTTCCCTTACTGCTACTCCTATTATTTTTATAGTCTAGAAGTTGAAATTGCCTGAAATCACAACTAGAGACGCCCAACTGTACCAATGTAGTATTTCCTTGGAGGTACAGGATACTCATGTCTGTATCTCCTTTCATGTTTCCTACAGATTAATACACATTCCTGCTCTGTTCTTCACCATTCTGTCCAAATACATTTTTCTGTAAGAATCAAAGCAAAAATAATAATTTCTGTTCTGCTAAACCAAACTTTTCCTGGTCCAGCACTCTCCTTTTTCCCCAAGAGGCTGTTCTGTGACAGCATTCAGTTTACCAACAGACCTTTCTCATTTATCTAATCTGTCTTTCCATGCGCACACGAATCATCCTTCACCACACTAACAAACACTGTGTTATCTGACCTTACTTCTGTGAGGCAGGCTCAATCTCAGTGACACCTCCCCCTGACCCCATGTCCTGATGCTATGCAATGCCACTGATCCCATGGATGGAGGCAGAACAGAACAAATTGCGCATCCACAGCCAACGAAACCCAGCTCCAGCAAACCAATGGAGTTCTAACAAAGCAATACAGCTCTAACAAAAAAATAATACTGCCCTATTTCTCTGTGCAGTGACATACGGCCACAATCCCTGGACATGATTCCCTAGTGATGGGACCATTCCCATCTTCAGTTCCTAGAATATCCAGATACCGCTAATGACGTTAAGGTTTTGGGAGATGCTTTACATTGTTGGCATTTTGGCCCAGATTTCATCCTGCAAATGTTAACAGCAGACTGCGGAAGAATGAAAATGTGAGCTTTCAACTCAAAGACACAAAAACTGGAATTCAGACTTCTACTCTCAACACAGCCATTCAGAAGACAATCAGGACACTGCATGCCTTCTGGGGGTTTATTTTCTTCTATGCATTTTACAAGATTCCCAGTAAGGATCCCTAAGTCCTTTCTTTGGAGACTGATTAAGCTATTGCTTTTACAACAGTATTTATGGCCAACTGGATGCTATTAAATTCTGGATAATAATAGCAAAAAAAGTAAAATCATAAAATCAGTCCTGCAAGAAGAATGTTTTACACTTAGATTTGTATCAATTATATTTTCCATATATACAAGTATTGTAAAAATATGTATATTTTCATTGCTAGTCTTAAGGCATGATACCAAGTTTGAGGTGAGAGCGAGCTCAATTTAATATCTTTCTGAAAAAGCTACCAAACCGAGAGCAATATTCCATTCACCTTAAGGTGCAGCTTAGCATGGGTAATGACTAGTTCTTGCTGCTGTTCTGTTATAACAAATCTTTTTAAGTAACTCAGTATGTCCTGCCAATTCAATCCCAGTTTCTTGTGTATTGGGAGAAAAAGTGAGTCAAAACAACCCCACAGAGCTGACGTGGCCAATGAAAATCCTGTTTTGCTAACAACCACCGATTCCAGATACCTGTTTCAAGGGTACTGATTATCTCTCTTCAGTACCCGAAGCTCTATGAATATGTGATTTTCCTGTAGAAAAACAATCCTTCTCTATGTAAGAAACATCCACTCTGGGCCAAGCCATGGGATTCCAAGCCATTTGGCAGAACTCACAGATAAACACTCCTTGACCTGGGGTCATAGAACATTTCATTTTGAAGTTCTCTGTCAGAGACACAATCTACTTAAGGAAAACAGAATGGGGATGGGCATAGCATTTTTTCATTCCTGCTGCTGGGTGTCTTCCAGGGAGACATCCATACATATCACTGTATCAAGTATAATGCAGCTGTTATGAGCTTAAACACAGGACCATTTTCTTTTTTCTTAATTTTTAACCTAACCTCTAGTCTTTCTGTCAGGAAATCAGTAACAGCTACGGATTTACACAAGTGCAACTCAGAATTCATATTTGTTTCTTTTTTGTTATTTCATCTCACTTGCAAACAGCTGCTTTTCATCTCTTCTTTCAATTGAACGCATCAAAAATATTCCTTTTGGACAGCATTAAGAAAACTTCACAAATAGCAGACCGTAAGAAATGAGCATCTACTTCGAAACTGATAATATAATGAAGGGTTAGAGACAGTTACACTGAATTGCAATATGGCATTTGTTGCTTTGATTTCAATTATTTTTTATTTAGTTGGATGCCTTACACAAGTCCTTAAACCTTCATATGTGAGCTCTTTTCCTGAACTGTCACCATTGTTTGATCAGTGCCAACAAATGGGGAACATTAAGTGCGTAACTATCCAGAAAGCAAGCCACCTTTCACCTGACACTTCCACCTTAGCAGCATCCATCCCATCCCACACCCTGCCTGACCATTCCCCCCAAGTTTTCCTTTTAAGATCTGCTGTCACATAAAGGAGTTCAGACACTCCTTTTACTGGCAGAAGATGCCTTATCAGGAAGGATATCTGACTTCAGCAGAACAACCCTGCCCTTTCAGTTCACACCTGGAGGTCCTACCTTTGACACCTGAAGGGGTCTTTTCTGCTCAGAGCCCCCTTGCAGCCGGAAGCCCCAGGGGGCACCTCCAGACAGAGTGATGAGCATTTCTTCTTCGGCTCTCATGATTTCTGTACTTTGGATATTTTGTCTTCCCAACTTCGAAACAGGCTCTAGGTCTTAACAGGCAGTATCTTCCATTCCCATCTTCACCATTCACATCACAATTCTCCAATCTCCCCAAAGGCCCACTTCTCACTTTTTCCTTCAAGTTCACACACACAAGAAGAGAGTTGAGACTGTCAAGCCCAGCCTTCCCTGCTCTTCTGCACTCTCAGCTGCTGCTCTGCCTATGATTAGACATTTGATTCTGCTGTTGGTAAAGGGCCAGAGTTGTTCTGCACACGTGTCATGTCAATCTCACCCTCAGTGCATGGATCTCTCACCGAAGCATGGCTGAAAATAGCTCACCTCCTGCCTCCAGAGCTTCATCTGGCACTCTTAAAGCTGGAAGCTTTTCAGTAAAAATTTTATTTCCACTTCCCTTTCCAAATGCGAATCTGAGTAACCCAGCACTGAGGATTCATTAGCATGGCAGTTTCGGGTATAGATGTGACACAAGCACAAACTTGTGCAAGATCAGGTGACGGCACCCAAACCTGAGAAACTGAACCAGAGTAGCCAGGAAGTGGCAACACTCTCCACTTGTACCTTCCTTATGCAGCTGGTGTAACTACACAGGAATGTCCTGAAAACCACGGGCAGGCTGGAGATGTGCTCCTCACTCTCAGACGCTCTGCAGCCAGTCCTAGTATTAGACATGGGGACAAGAATAGCCAGGATTAGCCACACATAGGGGATTCAGACAGCTCTCAGCAGGGGACATTATGTCCCGGCTCCTCAATGGCCAAGAGAGCAGAGTTGCACCCAGGCCCTGCACCACCAGCTTCTCTTCAGCATCACACTGGAAGAGGCCTCCCGGCCACCCCACGCAGGCCTGGCCCTTGGGAGCTACAGGAGAAATCAAATCCACACTCCCCCTTATGCTACTGGGTTAAGACGTAATTTTATTTGACAGCCTTAAGAACAAATTGACCTCTTTTTGCTCTGCACGCGCTGAGAACAGCCCTCAGCAGCTAACGGGCACGGGACGTCCCGTGACGCGGACACCGTGGCTGATCCTTCAAAGGACGTGGTTTCACGTCACACACGGCTCGGTCACGGGAGTAATGCAGCACGGCTCTGCCTGCGCGCTCCAGCCGCTCTTCCAACGCCACTGCACTTCGGCGCCAAAGCGGGGCCATACACAGACTTCTGCCGCAACCGCTCCGCGAGACAGGGCCCCGCGAGACCCCACGACAACAACCCTGGGGGTTCGGCCCGGCCAACCCAGCGACGGCACTTCCGCCCGGCGACGTCACGAAGCGCGAGCGCCGCCACGGCGAGCCCGCACGGCAGCGAGCGGCGGCCGGCCCGCGTCCGGAGTGACGTCACCCTGCGAGTGCCAGAACGCCTGCGCGGCATCCGGGCCTTTCCGGGCGGGGCGCGGCGGCGGCCGGGGGTTGGCGGGCAGTGCGGACGTGGCAGCCGGCGGGCGGGGGAGCGGTGCTTCCGGTGGAGCGGCGGGCCCGGCAGCCGGAAGCGGGCCCGGCAGCGGCGCCAGGAGCGGCAGGCGGCGGAGGAGGTAAGCGAGGCCGCGGGGCGCCGGGGCCGCGAGGCCCGGACGCCGCTCTCTTTCCTCCCAGGGCCGAGGCCCGGCGGGACGACGCGCGACGCCCGGCGCTACCGCAGCCAGGCGGCCTGCCGGGAGCGCAGCCCGGCGCCGTCCGCATTCGGGGCGCCCGGCGGCGGGGCCGTCCTCTGCGACCGTCGGCTGCCAGATAGGAGCCCCGGGCGCTGCGAGCCGGGCCCTGGCGCCGCCCTGGCAGCCGCTGGGCCGTGGGACGGGCGGCCGCTCCCACACGGCCCTCGTCCTGTCGGCCCTGCTTGTTGTATCTAGGCTCGTCTTGTGTCGCTGAGCCCGTGAGGGGCGGCTATCCCCGCACAGGCGGTGGAGCTTAGAGGGTGACCGTCTGTGGCCTTGAAAATGCAGGGGGAAGGTGGGGGTGGAGGTGGTGCGGCCAGAGCACGAGTGTGCTTCTAGGAGAGGCTAGGCCAGGTTTCATGTGTGCTGTTCTGTGGTGTTGGAGTTCACTTCCGTTTTTCGTGTTTTTTTTCTTTCCCCCTGAGCAGTGTTCTTTGGAATAGGATGAAAATTCCTTTGATTCCTGCCATGTGTCAGGTGTTGTCCAGTTGTGTGTCTGAGCCAACTCTGAATGTTCCTGCAGTTAAAAGGCATTGCAAAACCAACAGTGGGGCTTGTTGGGAGCTGTCACATTGTAGTTCTGCATAACCTTACTTAAACTGAGGCAGAGAAAAGTTGTTACTGAAACACAGGTGAATTACTTACCCTGACATCAGAAGTGTCTGCCACAGTTGTTAGCATTTATGTGCTAATGTAGGAATAGAGATTTCTAGTTTGATATGCAGTGTTAATTTCAGCCATTAATGTGTTAGTTTCATAAAAACATTTGTTTTTTTTCTGTTCTGAGATTCTTCACCAAATGTTTTGGAGAGATGCTAGAGAGAGAGAAATGCTATCTGACATACAACATGCAGTGCCATTTTCTGTATACAGACTGTGTGAAATCGCATCCCTACAGTGAGGTGACTTGTTGATAATGTTGTCTTGGCCTTACTCTTCATTAATATGAAGTTGTCCCAGGTCACATTGGCTTATGGGATTGATAGAAATACTATTGGCCTAAAGTTCTGTCTAAAGAGGTGATTTGCCTTCACTGTACATAAGCATTTCTATGCATTGTTGTGCAGGAAAGCTTTTCTGTGTCTGCTTCTTTCTGAATGGTACAACTTGAAGTGAATCCTTTATTACTATAGAGACACATGGAGATTGATATAAGGATTATGACTTCTTAATATGCTGAGATAGTCACTGCAAATTCTAACTGCATGGCTAAAAGCTGAATTCTAGCAGTGAACAGATGTGTAAAGGGCTTTTTCTTTGAGTTAGATGCTTGTACATCTTCGAGTGTTTTCTCTTGCCGCTGTAAGGCTAAATCTTCTTCCTGTAACACTTATCATCAGAAGGAGGGTCAAAACTCCAAGGAAAAAATAATGGTTGGGTAAGAAAGGGCAAGGTACAAAGAGTGACTAAAAATAATCAACAAGGTCTCACAGTAGAGAAAAAGGTGGATGATTGAAAATCTTTATTAGCAATGACTTGTGAAGATAAACCTTGTATTTTATGTTCAGCAAAGTTCATTGTTCACATAGAAATCACTAAATGTATGAACTGGGCAGTTAGGCATTAGGAAAAGCTAATTCTGAGCTTTTTTGTTTATTGTGAGTGGTGGGAATTGCATAATGCATGTTTGTGTAGAGGAAGTCAGAGTATAGAAGCTTTGGATGAAAAAGGTCTGTGTTACAATTTGTGTGCAGAAAGCTTGTGTAGCAGTACGGTATGTGTCTAGTCTGTTCTATATTTGCCTATTTATCCATTCTTGTAGCCTCCTTTCCAATCTTTAAACTACTTTCCAGCTTTTTCTGATTAATTGTACTTGTGCAAGGCTCACAGAAGTGAGTCAGATGACTTCACACATTGTAACATGGATGTGGAGGTACAGCTGGGGAAGAGAGAAGTCTTTCACTGTGTTTTGCTGATGTGATGTTTTCAGTGACTTTTGCTTACACTGCCTGCTTTCCAGGAGCAGTGCCCAGAACTGTGTGTCAGAATTTCTTTTCTTTTGTTTTAGCTTTTATTCTGGAAGAAGATATGTAAATCAGTGCCACCAGGAGATCTCAACAGGTTTATACACTTTTTTGATCTAAATAAAAATCTGGTGGTGATGGTAAAGGTTGGAAATAGTGGCAGACTTAAAGTTTGATCAAGAGTAAAACTTTAAGTTCCGTGTTTAACCGCTATTACACCCTTGTGGCTTAAATGTTATGTTGGACCTTCCCTGAGATGGTGAATCAGCCTCACAAAATAGTGTTGAAGGTGGCTCTTATTTAGAAGTACACAAAGTGATCACACCTTCGATGTGAACAATGATTTTTGTTTTGTCCTGAAGATTGAAGGATTTCAGGAAAGACTGGCCTCCAGAATTCTTCTCTAGAACCTGTTGTGGCACAAATTCTATAGCTATAATTCTGTAGCTGTAATCTGTCAAATACTTTTTTTGGAACTCTTTTGTGCAAATACTGAGGCTTCTGGACTTGCACTGGTATTAAATTGTAAAGCTTCGTTTTGAATAGTGGGTGTCTTACACCTCTCCTGAACTGTTAAAACAGATCTGTTTTATGGCTGTGACTCAGAATGCATGGGTGAAGAGAATGTTACTGATGGCGTAAGGAGTTGAGAATCTGCTGAGATGGAAAGACACAGCACAGCAACAACAAGCAAAAAAAAAAAAAACCAAAAAACCCCACAACTGAATTAGAGAGTCAATTCCAGTAGTGCCACTTGGATTAATTTGGACAGACATATGGGATGCATGCTGTTGTACCAGCCTGAGTGCTTCCAGCTCAATTGCCAGTCATTGACTTCCAGGGTATGAGCTTCTCTTCCAGGATTTTCTATAGAAAAACAGAAGAGGTGCTTCTTGCATCTGAAGAGTTAAATGTTGTGCGTGTGCAGAAGAAGCGACAGCTGAAGAAAAGCATGTTCCCCTTTTGAAGAGTGATCTTGGCTCCAGAGTTGAGGCTGTTGAGGTGGTATAACTGTCTCCAGAAAGTTACAGAAGAGATGCTATAAAAGCACTGTGAGTAATATTCTGAACTGGTCTTAGAGGATGCTGGCTGCCCCCTTCTCTCCCATCTTTTGGAAAGGGTTTTAATTTCTCTGTACAGAAATATTTATCATATTTCTTTCAATTCCAGCAAAATACAGAGGCCGTGTTATCCTTGTCTTTAAAAAAATAAAAATAAATAATCAGAACAAAAACCAACCAAGAACCAAGGTTCTGCTCTCCTTAGAAGGTGAAGTAAAGGGGCAGGACCCATAAGAAAAGGCTCTAGCATCTTTCTGAAGGAAAGTTGTTCTGCTGCATCCTTTAGAAAGCAGTCAAGAACTAATGAGATCCATCACCTCAGTTTCAAAAGGGAATTTTAACAGTGAATGAAACCAGAGAAAATGATGAGTTTGCAGTTTTCCATGTCTGGGGAGACTTCCTGATTGAAACTCATATGAATCACTAGTGTTGTTGCATTGTTTTTTTTATTTTTTAGTAGGCTGTAAAAACTGATCTGTAGTCTGTTTTGTTTGGATCAGAAGGAATCTAGGTGCTATTGTAAAAGCTAAGCATTTGTTCCCCATATTACTGTTTTACTATTTTTCTCCCATCGTTTTGCTGCTACTCTCCATTGGTTGTCTATTTAACAGCATACCAGTATGAATTTTAACTGTGTACTGCTGGTGTTTTGACTGAAATTTCCATGGCCATTTGCCTTTGTACAGATGAATGGATGAAAATGGCACAGAGTGGTTGCTCTCTTTCATAAGAAAATTATTTTAGTTATAAATAGTAACAGCCACTTGTCACGGTGTCCCTCTCTCCCCATCAGTGTCGATTATTTCAGCTTTCTGTATTGTAACTCATGAGTATTAATATGACATTCAGCAGCATGTTGTACTAGTATGTTTGCCTTCGTTTTCATAATGCATTACCACGTACAAATTAATATCCTCAGTATTTTCATTAAATGGAACAGGCTGCTTTCTCTCCACTTTTCCTTATCTGGAGCATGTATTTCATTCTTTCTGTGATTTTTTTTTTTTTTTTTTTTTTTTTTTTTTTTCCCCCCCCCCTTTGTGTCATAAGAAATAGAGCATGAAATCTTCCCTTTTCCCATATCTCTTCAAGCGACCAGCTTCTAATTTACATCTATATTTTTTTGGATGCAGGCAAAATGAATGCTGTTTGGTAAAAATAATGTACTGAGGGAAAAGAAACACAGATTCACTCGGTGACAACCCTTTTCTGCCTTCTCAGAGTTGAATTCTCTTGGCCTTGCCCTTTGTGGTATTCCACGTCAGTGATGAGGAAGTGTACTGCAAACCTTACATCTAGAGCAGGTTGAGCAACTGAGGTCAGTGAAGCAGCCTTGTCTGCAGCTTCAACACCAAGCTAATTCTTGAGTCTTTGTCTTCATTTCTAGCCCTCTCCTTGGTCACTGCTGTAATGGCATAGGCATTAGCTTGTGCTGTAGGGGATGTTGGGCTGTTCTGGCTGTCACAGGGACTAGCTGAAGGCTTGAGGTGCCTTTAGGGCACTCATCTGTAACTACCCAAAAGAGATGGTTCTGTTTTCCATACAATACGGGTAAATATTCTAAGACCTCTTCCTCTGGAAGATTTGCATTAAATGAACTTGTGTCTCCAAGTATTGCTGAAGAGCAAGCAAGAAGCAGATAACCCTGCCCACCCAAGTGGGAAATACTGACATTGACAGGAGGGAGTGGGGGAAGGCTGACAAGAGAATAGTTCATGATAATCAGGTAGGGTCACCTACTGAATGTGTGCTCCCATCAGGTGAAAGTGGGACATGCTTGAGTTTTTGCCCTATTGTGCAATAGGATAAAAGATTTATCTTTTCCAGCTCTGTGGTAACTGTTTGGGCAAACATGAGGTTTGCTGAGGAAAATCCACAGTGCCTCCAGAGTTCTGTAGGTACGACTTGTAAAGGGAGCCTTCATGGTTGTAGCTCAGGAGGTGTCCTGCCAGGTGCTGCTGCTTAGCCTGCAAGTCTTCCTGAGAGGAGGTCCCATTTGTAGGAACAGTGTCTGGAAGCCAAATTGCTCATGCAGAGTACAGTAAGCAGTAGTGAGGGGTAGGAAGGAGAGAAAGCAGCCTTCTTTCCTCGTAACCTTATGTTCTGAGCTGCTCAGGTTGAGCAGTCTTCAGCTGTGTTCTCACTTGCTTTGTAAGAAGAGTTGTTCTGCTTTACTGGTTGCACTGGACAGAAAATGAATGTGGGTAGGTGTGTGACTGCAGTGTGGTGATGTGAGATGCCTGCCTGGAGAGGAAGAAGTTAACCTTCAGGGGAGCTGGGAGCAGATGTGGGTCTCAAAGTCTGGGTTTCCTGGCCCTGCAGCTGCTCCAGATAGCCTGCTCTGCAGAGCTAAGTCAGAGGTGGAATGGGAAACCTCAGTATATGGCACTGACCCTCTTGCTCACTGTTGTGTTTGGAAACATTGTGGACTGATCAGAACTACTGTCATGCTTTTGTAAGTGACGCTGTGTGTTACTCTCAACAGCAAATTACTTTCAAGGATTTAAGAGAAGACTTTTTTTTTTTTCCCCCTAAACAAAAGCTCTGCACAGCTTGAAAAATAGAAATATGAAACTTCATTCATTTCATGTAATTTTCAGAGTAAGCATTTGCATGCTTAGCATTAATGTTACTGCTTAGCTAGAGGAGATAAACATGGTATGCATGTATTAAGCTAGCTGTCTTCTGTAACCAAGCAGATCATTCTGTTGTGATATGTGTTCTCCCTGTTTGGCCATGAAAGAATTTATTTGTATGTGGATGGTTCACACAGGACTGTAGTTATTTTAGTACTGTTTGTGTGTAACTGTAGTGCTTGTTGTTGAAATACTGCTTTGATGTCATCTTTCTGATAATGCAGCCATAGCGTTAGGTGGCATGCTGTATTCAATGAATAAGCAAAAGAGCTCAGGTATTTATTATCCGCTTCAGTTAAGCTGTAGATTCTGTGTTGGGATTTAACTCAGCTGGCTGATAGCTGTTGCAGCTGTATTTGTCTCCTCTGTGTTAAGATGTGATATTTATTTTCAATGAGGGAGTTCATTGTGGGATTTGGAGAAAAACGAAGGGAAAATTAGTTACTTGCTTTACCTTAACTTTGCATTTTTGTGTGAACTGTGGTCTTTCAATAACTCTCAGAACACATGTTTGTGTACATTGTTACTGTGCATGCAGTTTTACCTGAAGGGGATAGTAAGTGGCATATGGAGTGTCTGAAGGAGCCCAGGGGCTGCAAAGTATCTCTGAGAAGTAGACCATGAGGGAAGCTCCTTTCAATGAAGTCATCTGCTTGGCTCTGTGGCTTATCTGCCTGCTGGCTACCGTGGTATTCTAAGAACTGCCTCCTTGGTCTGGGGACTCCAATGTCATTTGTGGTTTTGTCTCTATGAAGTTAGAGGAGTTGGGAGTACATCTATTAGAAGGTCTCTTGCACAGCTTTTCTGAGGAACTTCCTTCCTGTCTCTGACACTGTTTCCGTTCTTTCCCTTTCATAAAGCTCCCACAGTGACGCTTCAGCCTCTGACGCTTTCCCATTTTGAACATCTGTCTTAAATGAGCATGCTGCTTGTGGAGTACTTGAGCTTTCTGAAATTTATGTGTACAGCAAGGACTTTAAGTCATTAACTGGTAAAAAATAAAGCAAAGCCCTCAAATCCTTTGTTGTCTCTTCTGGTTTCTTTCAAACAGTTCAAGAAGCAGACTGTGTGGTACTGATTTGTGTGTCACAGCAAGGAAGCATGAGCTAGTAGCACAACATGGATCTTAAAGATAAACTTGTGGAGTATTAGTGAAGTGTTACATTAAGGAATCTCTCATCTAAGTTGTTTTCTGAGTCTTGTTTGTTTGTTATAGGATCACAGAATAGCTTTGGTTGGAGGGTAACATGAAGGTGTTCTTCGAAGGGGGAAACAATTCATGAAGTGTCTCAGGAAGATTCGTAATTCTGCTTTGGAGTGGCAAATTATGAGATTTTTTTTTCCTAAGAAGCTGACCACAAGTCTAACTAGAACAGAACAGTGAATGAGTGGATTGATTGGAAACAGTTTATTAGATGATTGTTTTCTAGCTAGTTTTTGTAAAGCGTTTACCATGGAAAAACTGTGCAAGAGTAAATTACTGCTGAAGTGTTAACTTCTGTAGTATCTCAGGATCTCTAATTTCTGTGAAAGCAGTAGAGAAATTGGCTGGTTTGGTTTTATGTCTTCTAAAAGCCATTTCCTTCCCCCCTCCACTTTTTGCAGGTGAAATTAGTTTGGGGATGTGAATACAATGAGTGTAAACCAGCATACTCACGCGGGGCCTCCTTATGGGCAACCTCAGCCTGGATATCAGGGCTACCAGCAGCCTGCCTACGGAGGACAGCCATTGCCAGGGGTTCCTCACGCACAGTATGGAGCTTATAATGGTCCGATGCCAGGATACCAACAGCCAGTCCCTCCACAAGGTACTTCTCAACCAAAACATCACGATTGGTAATCTGTGAATTGTTGCGTTTACAGAATTTTTGTTTGTTTCCTATCGCTGCATTTCTGTTTCCTGATAGCAGTTATCTTCTGCACACAGCTTACGTGATGTTAAGAATCATGTTCTTTCTGTATGTGCTCAGATTATTCCTGTCACTTGTCTGACTCAGTAGGGCTTACTCTTCTCTTAACAGCTCACTTTCTTTTGAGACTGCTTTCTTTTTGTGTGTCCCTGCCCCCATGGTGCTGAAGCAACCCAATGGGGTAGTGTTCCTGAAGAGGTTATGTTGGGGGCAGCAGTGAGAGACTGTAACAGATTTGTAGCAGAGGCTGCTTTACATTACTGCATAGCAGGGTCTGTGCTCTGTCTCAAAGGATTAAAATATATAACTTTAGATAGGAAGCATGTTTGGAACTAGCTTCTTTACTATCTTTAAAAGCAACAGAAAGTTTATGGATGTGTGGGTATGCTAATGTAGTCCAGAATTCTCCTGGTTCTGCAGGATCATGTCATTTTTTTTTTAGAATGGCAAAATAAGCCTAAGCTTGTGTATTTTTTCTTTAACAAAATAGTTTGATTCTTTTTTCTTTCTGTGCTCAAATGCAAGTCTAACGTAAAAACAAAATATCCTCAAATTTTTATAAATTTAGAGTACCCAAATTCTACTGGGAGATGAATAGTGGCCTTAGCATCAGTAATGTTGTAGAAGATAAAATACTATAGCTTTGAGAAGAAGTATATCTACCTCTTAAAATGATACAGATGAATTCAGGTCCACCAGGGTAAGCACAACACAGACTCTCACTCTGAAAGGTTTTAGATTTTGGACTGTTTTCCTAAGGAAATGAGCAATATACTGCTCATGTTAATGATCTCTGTGTCGTTGCCCTTACAAAAACGCTTCGAATTTTTTGCGAAGTGGAATTTCAGCCAGACTTGATGAGGCAAATAGAGCAATCAAAATACCCACTGTCTTACTGAAACTGGCAGAAGTGGGAGGCTGAAATATATGTCCTGAGAAAGAGACTTCCAGGGGGAGCTAAATGGTTCCCCTGCTGTTTATTTTGGCTGGAGTTAGCGCAGTAGTGGAGTAGAAGAGGAGCATGTGGTATGCTGAAGAACTGGATTATTCAGTTTTGTTCCATCTTCCTCTTCTTTCCTTAATCCTCTCCCCCTCTTCCTAGGAAATCTCCTTCAGCATCACTTTTAATGAATGAGCTTTGAACTAATTTCATGGAGGGTTTAAATTTTTATAAAAGCTATGAAAATCAGCAGTGTGAGGCAGAAAGAAGCCCTGCTTCCTGGGAGTGCACAAGACAGAGCTTTGGGCACATTTGCTGCTCAGTGGATGCATCAGCTAACTAGTATTTTCCACTGCATGAAAGGAACGGGGAGGAACTGGGCTTAATTCAGTGAGAGAGAGGAGATTCAAAAAGGGCAAAGAGTGTAGATCTGTTGGTAGAGCTTTGTCTGCTCTGCTCTTTAGAACGAACAAGTTCTGACTGACAGTAGTGTGAAGAATGTTTAGGATCTTTGTGAAAAGAAACGAGTGAGCTTTTTCCATCAAAAATTACTCGCAAGATTGAAAGGCATTTAATTTTAAGGAAATTAGCTGGTTTTCTTTTGAATTGTTTACTTTGGCTTTTTTAATTTCAGAGCAGCAGAAATGTCATTCATGACTGATCAGTAAGAATGTGCCTAAAAATCCTCTAATATACATATAAACCTTTGCAAATTAAAAACAGTCTGGTATTTGTGCACCAGCAGCGATTGAGTGGTAACGTGACACTGATGGCAACATGTTGGACAACAGAGACATACTGCAGTCCTTATGTCCATCAGCAGCGTCTTGGGGAAAGGCCACTTGTGGTTTGTGGAGATGCCTCTTGGGTTTTTTTTTCTTCTTATAAGACCTCCCTTTCTAAAGATAGGAGAAAAATCCTTAACAGACTGCACAAAGGAAATCTTGTCAGGGCGCACATCTCATACCTGCTCTTGCAAATTCAGGATTTCTGTCGTTAGAGGGAGGGAATGTAAAATGCAGAGCATAAGCGTAGCAGCCAGAAGTTAACTTGCTAGTAGGTGCTAGATGAGATCCAGGTAGAAGAGAGTGACATACACATGTGGTGCACTAACAGAGCAGATAGGCGATAGAGAAAAAAGTCTCCGTCTCCATCTTTGCTGTCTTCGTCGTGGTGTTTGTTATGAGTCTTGGCAGCAAGGTCTGTTGTAACCGTATTATGTAGAGGGGAGAGAATTCAATTCAGAGATGCTAGAGTGACAGGCATTGAGAACACTGAGGGATGAAAGGAGAACTGCTGATGTTACTCTGTGGTATCAATGTAGTCGTCTTAAGGATGTGTTTGAAAAATAATAAGTAAAAAGTGCTTGGAAAACTGACTGGAGAAGTATTGGCAGTGCTTGCCATCCTTGGTCAGAGAAACTTTGCATCTGACTTATATGACAAACCCCAGCTCTAACTGACAGAAACATGGAAATGTTGTGCCAGAGGCTGAGAACTTGCTTAGAAGCAGAAGTGGAATACTGCACTGTTAGCTGAGCACAGCTTCTTCACACAGTAAAAACGCTGAAAGAACCAGGATAATTTTGCATCAGTCTTTCACTCCTGCAGTCAGCTTTTTGCTTCTAATGAGATCATGCAGTTGAAAGTACAAATACAATTGTCTGTCTACCAGTAACAATTAGGTTGCTTTTGGATTATTATGCTTAGACTTAGTTCACAATATTTACATTTGTATTAATGTTAATGTACGAGCTGTGTTGGTAACATGCGTTATGGACGGCAGAACAATGAGAGGGAGAATAAGAAAGAAGCAGTAAATGCGACATGGGTTTTTACGTACATGATACTTTCTGCACAGCAGACTGTCCTTAAGATTGGAAACACTGTCTTGGTGCTTCTCTCAGGCTTGATTTACTGGTATTCTGTCTTTCCAGGTTATTTTCCTTCCTTGGGGTTCCCTTCGAAGGGCTCTCCTGTTTCTCTCAACTCTGACACTTCTCTTGCACCTAATCTCATAGGTAAATGTGGGAGCGTTTGTGCTGTGCCACTCCTACTGTGGGGAAGGGGTGGTTCTCTTAACCATCTTCTGTGCCACATTCCAGTTCAGCAGGGTTTTTGTCTCAAGGGTGTGGGTATTCAGTTATTCAGGCAGAGGTAGATGGGGTGCTTCCTACGCTGTTTGTCAGCAGCGTTCCAGAAACACAAATACGATATGAAGAAATAGTTGTAGTGTAAATCCCTTATATCTGCAGATTCGTAGATAGAAACTGACTTGTGACTAATGTTTTGAGAAGGCTCGTTTCGAAACCTGAATTGGCCCAGAGAGTTCTGGTAGGAAGAAGCCTTAATTTTTTTCCTTTAAATGCAACAAGCAAACAAACAAATCCTATTCCCTTTGGGAAAGAATTAAAATATGAGGTCTGAAATAAAAGCATTGCAGTGAAGAAATACAAAACAAACAACATTGAAAAACAGCCAGCCAAAAAAAACCTCCCCAGCCACCAGGAATTTGGTCTTAGAAGTGAAAGGATTTTTATAACTTGGATTTTCATTTAAGGAAAAAACTTTTAGCCTTCTTGAATATAGCATGAAAGTCTTATTTGCTAGGAATAATTCTAATTCTGAAAGCTGATGCTTGAATAAGGAAATATTTTTGCTAAGTCAGCAATGAAGATGCAGAAATTAGAAACATTGCAAGAAATCATGTCATATTTTTCCCTAAAATAAGGGAAAAAATTTCTTTTTACCCTGAAAAGAAGGGTATGTTGGAAGAGCTATTTCCATCAGTGTCTTTGTTAAGAAGAGTAGGCAGTCAGAGCTGGGCCAAGTTCATGTAATCTCAGGACTTTGAATAAAATCGCTGTCACTTCCCATTATCCTGCAGTCTGCCTCTATTTTGAGGTCTGTGATGAGTAAGGACAGTATCTCAAAGGTATTGAAGAGGGACTTAAAGGTTCCTCAAGAAAAATGAATCTTAAGGGGAACAAACCACTAGATATTCATATCCCTTCAAGTAATTTTTTTTCAGTGGCTATTTGAGCAGTCTGTGCTAATGGTTAGAGAAGTGTATTTATGAGAAGGATTAGGAAAAATAAGATTTCTCAGTTGGTTTTTGGGTTTTTTTTGGAATTAAAGATGCATTTATCAAGTTGTGTGCCTGGTAAAGCTGAAAAAAAAACTGTAAACCTGTAGTTGTAGTTTGCATGCGCAGTCATATAGTTTTAATTATCAGAGCTTTTAATATAATCTTAATCAAATAGAAGCTAATTTTTTTTTTAAGTAGATGCTATAGGAAGCAGCTTACTTTGAAAAACTAGAAAGTATTCCTGCTACTCTCCAAGCTTAAGAGGCTGGAAGAATAGCCTGTGATGGTCCTTGCTAGGCTGGGCATAAAAACAGCCAGTAGAGTGTACTTTTTAAAAACTGAATCTATTCACATTACACTTAGTCTTCAAGATGGGAAAACTAACCCATAATGAATGCTAGGTTTATGTAAATACTCTCCTTCCTGCAGATAAAAACAATTAGATATTAAGGGGGAGGAACTTAACATCTTTCTGATAAGAAAACAGATGTTTTCTTATCAAAAAATAAAGATGTCTTTTGAAGGTCTTCCACAGTGCCTATTTTCTATTTAATCTGTGTGGAGATGTGACTAGTGACAATGGCTAAAATATTTGTTTTCAGTTTTGCTACTACTAACATAGTTGCATAAATAACTTGCTGCTGAGAGAGTACTGATACATTAATTTGGCCATCCAAACTTTTTCACTTTTTTCCTCCCTTGATTTTTCTTGGTAGCTATTTCAAGTTCTTATTCCTGTGAATAATTTGGTTTTTTTTTTTTTTCTGTAGGTTCAGTCAGAGCCCTTCCAACTTCCGGAGCTCCCCCTCCAGCCAGTGGAACATCTCTTCCTTCTGGCCACCAGGGGTACAGTCAGTTTGGACAAGGAGATGTGCAGAATGGGATCCCAACCTCAACAGCACCAATGCAGAGGTATATACAAGAAGAGAAAATCTTAATGCTAGGTCTCAGCCATTTGGCATTTACTTTGCTTTAGATCCTTTGTTTTTGCCGTGGTGGATGCTGACTTTTTTTTGTATCTTATTGCCCTCTCTGTTCCAGTGCTCTGCCACTCTGACAGTAAATAAATTTTTCTTTGTGTTAGTATGGAACTTCCTGTGTTGCAGTTTCTGCCTGCTTCTTTCTGTTCTGTCATTGCTTGCCACTGAAGTCCACTCGCATCAACTTGACCTTCTGCACTTCAAAATTTATAAATAGTTATGAGATCCCTCTCTTAGCAATTCTTAGCAAATCTTTTCTGGTCTGAGGAGTCCCGGGTCTCTCAGCCTTTCCTTGTACAGGAGAGGCCCTTCGTCATCTTTGTTGCCCTGCACTGGACTCTTTCTAGGAGATCCCTGTCTTTTTTGAACTGGGGACTCCAGAACTGGACACACTATTCCAGATGTGGCCTCACCAGGGTGAAGTAAAGGAGGATCGCCTCCCTTGACCTCTGCCTTGTGCTTTTTAATGCACCTGTGTTATATGTATAGACATCAGTTGACTAATCATAACCACTTCTCCAAAGTTTTTCTTTTTCCATAAATAATTTCCTGGTTGCCAGAATCTGTCTTGTTTGGAAACAATTGCTTCCACGTAGTAGATGTGTTTGGTTCCTTGACAGCGTGAACTGAAATGGAATTAACAGAAAATTTAATTAGCTTTAGACATAGAATTTGTGTTTTAGGAACCAACAGATATTTATGATGAAAAAGATTCAGATCTGTGTGGGGTGTACGTAATTATTTTTAAGAAACTTAACAACAGTGCTTAATTTATACTTCATGTAAATTATTGTCTAGTATTTATATGCTAGAACAACTTTTTAATGGCATGGAGAGCTGTAACTGTTTGCATAAGGAATATCAGTGAAATTTCTCATCTCCCCTTCTCAGGCCGCCTGCTTCTCAGCCGTTCCTGCCAGGCTCAGCACCTGCGCCTGTCAGCCAGCCATCTACGTTCCAGCAATATGGTCCCCCTCCATCCAGTGTACAGCAGCTCAGCAATCACATGGCAGGGATGACGATTGGCAGTACTTCAATCTCTGCTCCTCCCCCAGCTGGACTGGGATATGGTGAGGTTTTCTGGCTGTAGAAATGTGATTGCTTTCAATTTGTGCTAGTTATTTATTAAGTTTTGCTCTTGTCAATGATTCACTGCCATATGTTGATGGAGATTATCTGAATGTTGATATCTGCCATTGTAAACAGTAGTTTCCTTGGCTGGTGATATCATCACTGGGGAAAAAAGAGCTGATATTACTGCAGAGTCAGTGCAGGAAGTATTACAGGACACAAGGAGGAATATTGTTATATTCTTTAATCATATTACTAAATGAATCTGTGTGTGACACACAGAAACATCTACATGTATGTGAGCTGAGAGTCTACATTCCTTGTCACTCAGCTCCATCAAAAAATAATAATAATAAGGAAGGGGGAGAGTTTTCAGATCCCTTAGAGTAATGTTCACTTAAGGTTTTTATGTTGGTACTGGAATGTCCATCTGAAGGTGAAAGCGGTAGATCAGTTTAGATAATTGTGAGTGAAGGAGTACTGTTTGAATTGTTTTGAGTTTGGAATTAATTTTCTAGAGGAAATCAGGAAGAAAAAAAAATGATAGTAATGTGTTTTCTTATTAGGTCCCCCAACATCGGTTCCCCCGGTCTCAGGGAGCTTCAGTGCAACAGGATCTGGTCTCTACACACCGTACACTGCGAGCCAAGGACCCCCTCCTCCCAGTGTGCCTCAGGGTCTTCCTTTGGCACAGCCTCCCTTTTCTGGTCAACCAGTACCAACTCAGCGCTTACCTACTGAAGTCCCTGGTTTTGCTCCGCCTCCGTCTTCTACGGGGATTGGACCTTCCTCTTACCCTCCTTCCACAGGTGCCCCAAGGCTGCCTCTCATGCCCGGCCCACCGCTGTCTGGGCAGACAGTTGCTGGACCACCGATGTCCCAGCCTAATCATGTGTCCTCACCACCACCCCCATCAACTCTGTCAGGGCCTCACCCAGGGCCTCCCATGAGTGGCCTTCATGGACCACCTCCACCCACTCATCCTCCTCAGCCAGGATATCAAATGCAGCAGAACGGTGAGTGTTCCTAAAGTAGAAGTTGTTTGTTAGATGTATTCTCTGTGTGCTACAGAGAAATGGATTGCAGGTTTGTAACTTGGAAACTTCTGGCTAGAGTTCAAAGCTTTGCTCTTGTTTCTCTCTGATAAAGGACAAATCCAAGATAAACAGTAGTATTTACCATTCTAAGCTATTTGTTTTACGGGTTTTAATCCAGTGATATGAAATGACCTCATGAAGTTTAAAAAACAAAACAAAACAACAACAACAAAAAAAAACAAACAGAAGAAGTTACCATACGTTAACCTATTACTGTGACTTCAGGCAAGTCAAAACTACCTGAGAGTTCTTTGCACAACTTAGTTTATGGCACTGTGGGGTCATCCACTAACTCTGTGGCTGTTCTGTGTGTAATTTTTTTTAGGCAGCTCTGCAGAATGTTGACAGTACACATCTTAATACATATTTTAATCCTGTTATTTTGAAAACAGTTATGTTGGTCTTAACCATGTTTCTTTAAGTCTGATTTTAAGGAGGGCTGTGTCAGCTTACTGAATCACTGGTTGAGATATACTGAGCTAAAATACTGAGAAAAACTTAATCCTAATTATCTGGAAAGCGTGTAGGATTCTTGTTATTTTTATGATGACAGAATGAATGGGAAGTGCCTAATGAGGAACTGCCTTATGTTAGCAGTTATTTAATTTATTGTTCCTTTCTTGCAAGGTTCCTTTGGACAGGTGAGGGGCCCCCAGCCAAACTATGGCGGAGCCTATCCAGGCACACCAAATTATGGAAGTCAGCCTGGACCACCACCACCAAAACGCTTGGATCCAGATTCAATTCCTAGCCCTGTAAGCTTACTTTGTTCTTAAGTGTGAACTTTTCTGTAATGTCTTTACTCTAAACAAAACTGACAGAGACCAAAGCTGAAAGCAGGTTTCTTGTTCCAAAGAACAACAGTCTTTTTTTTTTTCCTGCTTTCTTTTCTCTATTATATCCAGCTTCTGTCACTTGTTATGAGTAAGCCCAGAAGCACTTTTTCCCTTGACAACTGGAGAAAGACACTGCGTATACGTATCACTGCTTTAATTCCTCAGGGCTTTTTTGGTACTATGTTACATTTTAGGAATCCTTGAGGGCTTAGATTAAGCTTGCTTCATCATTTCTGAATTCTAACTTAATTACTTTCCAAGGTGAACTAACTGCTGGTAGGTAGCAATCTATGAACTGCATGATCGAAGCTTGAACTAAGGTTCACAGGAGATGATTGTAATGTTTTTTCTTTTCCTATTGCCTGGTTAGTTTTCTTTGGATCATAAAGTCAGGATGCTACTTCAATCAAACATGGACAGCTTCACAAATTAGGATTATTTTTTGAAATGGAGGTTCTGAGGAAAAGGCGTGCGATGGTGTGCAATGGCTAGCAGTGATGTGTAATATTAAGCCTGGATGTGCTATTGCCACTGGTCTGCTGTACTTTCCTTCCACAGCTCCTGGTGCTGTTACTGTCTCAGAAGGCCGCAACTGTTTGGTAACAGGGAACTTTTCCATAGCAGTGATTACAACTGGTTCTTAAAAACTCCAAAAAGAATTTCGTTTTGAGTTACAGCTGAGATCTTTATTGCTGCTATTCAGAAGTTACTGCTTTCAAAAAAGATGATCTATTTAGACTTCAGGTTTATATAAGGCTTAGGACTAATTTTTTTCATCGAGAATAAGAATGTATAATGCTTGTCAGCTTCTTTTTTCCCCACTAAATGAGATCTCAGATGGCTTTTATCAGTTACCTTCATTTCAGCATGTTCTTGAAACATAAATTCCCAATTTCTAACCAAAATGAGCACGTGAGCTACTACATCTGATAGCAGTGTGTCTCAGTATCACAGCAATACTGACTTTTGGGGTTGGTGTACGTTGCAGAAGCTGATGTGTTTCTTGTTGCATGAGTGAATGTCCAAATATATCTAATTGCAGTGCTTCGAGTTTGAGTAGAGAGAAGTAACATTGTTACTTTTTATTATTCTCTTCCCTTTCTTTTTCTTTTCTTTTTTTTTTTTTTTTGGTGGCACTCTTTACTTTTTATTTATATGCATATTTTTTTAAAAAAGCAACTTAATGAGCTGCCACCCCAGCAGAAACCCAGACACAGAATAGACCCAGATGCAATTCCTAGTCCAGTAAGTGCTATATATATGTCAACTGTGGTCTGTGTTGGTGACCATCTGTGCATGCATGGAACCTGAACTTCACCTCATTAACCCTTCATCACTAATCCTATATCCTTTCCTTGCTATGTCCTGCTTGCCTTATGAAAATGAGTATAACACCACGAGAGGTTGTTAAAGTCTCTTCTGTGATGTTTGGTGAGGCAATAGAAAGTAGACTGTTTCAGAAACAGATCATGAAGAATGTCTCCCCTTCACTTTATCTGTTCCTTAAAATACAGATTACATGGCATTTGAAGTGTTAAGTCATCAGTGTAATTGTCTGTGTAGTGTGTTCCATGTTAACATGCACACCTTATGAGCCTTTGTAGCCACGTGTTTTACCATTTCTGAGCAGAATTTGGTTACAGTTCTTGTTGATAGCAATACGGGGCTAATGCTTTGAACTGCTACAAGTGAGGAAACACTGTTTTCTTTTGATGTTACTTGCTGATGTAAATCTTCTAGTTGACTGCTATGAAGCATGGGGAGCTAGAAACATTCTTTCATTATCTGTGCTAATTTGTAACCATTATATTTTGAATTTGGAAATACAATGGTTGTGTCTTGAGAAATTTATCTGAAGACAAAGCAGCTACCTTTTGCGCTGGAAGGAGAAAAAACAATTACCCTTGTACCAGTTCTTCCTTGTTTAGCTGAATTTGGTCATAGAACAGCTACAAGCTGTGAGGTCATCGATGTCAATCAGTCTGTAGACTTTTGAGATGGAACTCGATTTAAGTGAGAGAAGTCTGATGCTGTGGGTGGTGTTTTTTGTGGCAACTTGGAATCTGTACTGAAAGGGTGGAAGTTCTGCTGTGCACAGTTCCACGTTTCACAGTTCAATCGAAGATACAGGTGGTGGCAGAATAAGATCAGAAGAATTGCTAGTTTTAATTTTTGATTCAAGCACCAATATAGTAAAGGTAGTTAAAACTACGTAAGAACAATCTTCTGTTCTTATGCAAAGTTCAACAGGTATTTGAGTCAATTAAAACTGTTCAGTGCTTTTCTCTGTAGTACATTTGTATTAATTTCAAAATTGTAATTCTAATAAAAATGAAAACTTTCACTTGTTTTGTGAAGTTTAAGCCTGAATCATTGATAACTCTCTATCGAAACTTCACTTTCCGCATCTCCAAAAAGCACCATGAACGTAACAGCAAGGAAAAGCCAGGTCATCTATACAGCTTCAGCCTGAGACTAAAATAAGCTTCTGATTTTAATTTGGCTAAGATCAGTAAAAAAGGAATACTAGCAAAAGTTCCTTTCTTGATCTAAATTTCTTTCTTGAGTTCAGATCAGATCATAGCACACGAAGTATACTACTGTTCAAAATACTTGGGAAAATTGTGTAACTTCAATGTTATTTGTTAGTCATTCAATATTATCTGAAATCCAGCTGAGAGGTGACTGCTTGGTAAAACTTATTTGCTTTAGACTTGTTACTTTTTTAGAGCTAGTGACGTTTGCCTCAGGTTCCCTTTCCACTGCCTTGCAGATGCAAATTTTTGGTTATTCAAGACTCCAAAGATTAATTCAGTGTGTTCCATTGTAGATCCAAGTGATTGAAGATGACAGAAGTAACCGTGGATCAGAACCATTTGTCACTGGAGTGAGAGGGCAGGTCCCACCTCTCGTTACTACCAATTTCCTGGTCAAGGATCAAGGTAAAATGACCAATCCACAGCCAAAAAATGTTGCCCAGGGCAGGTTCCTGGGAGCAGCATAAGCAGCAGGTGAAGCTTTTTCTGTGGAACTATATATCATGATAGCTCAGAATTGAAATTTACCAGCAATATTGTTGGAATTCATCTGAAAACAGCATATAAGTGGGATGTCATTTGGTCCATGGATTTCATAGAGAAAGAATATTCCAACTTTATTTCCTACACTTTTTTGGAGTTTTTAAACTCCCTTAAAACTTCAGAGTCCAACTCTATGGTTGGATGCTTCTCTTCTCAGCCGGACTTGGGAAAAAAAAAAAGAAAAAAAAAAAATTAGGAATGTCTGAGTTGAGATTTTTGCCCATACTGTGATTTACTCTGCAGAAAGAATGGAACAGTAATTTTTTTTAGAGGTTTAAATTTGAGGCTTAGGTGGAGTCAAATTTGCTTGGTTTGATTTTTGGGGCTTATATTATGCAGTGTTAATCATAAAGATGCATTCAGTTTGGAATTGAGTGTTATGTAATTATGGAATTAAGTTTATGTAATTCTTGTGGTTTCCTTCCAAGTCAGGATATTCATTCTTTCACTTGGTGATTCTGTAGTGCAGAAAGAAGGGTGAATTTGTTTGCTGGGCATGTGTCTGTGTCCACCTGCTTGTTTGTAATGTGAAATTTCACTGCACAAGAATCGGTAAAGAATGAATTTCATGTGGGATTTAAGTACATAACATTAAAATATGCAGTTGCATATGAAACTAGGAACTGTGTTTTATTTCTTTTTATCAAAGGAAAATAGGGATGTTGTCTCCTTCCTTTTGTCAAAGCTTTAATGAAGATGTATGATCCTCTGTTCACTCAGTCCAGTGTTTTCTAATAGATGTTTTTTGCAGAGTATCATCTGTATTTTAAAGCCTCAAGTACAATCTTAAAGTGTACTTGATATAAATGAATCTCAAAGCACACTGATGGTCATCAAGATATCCTGTGACCAACTAAGTGAAGCTGAGAAACCAGAAATTTGCACGTGCAAAATGATGATCACAGCAGAAATATTTATTGAAGCAAAGTATTATGTATTTTGAGGATCAAATTCCATTTATAGAGAAATAGTCTTCAGCACAGCTGAAGCTATCTTGATTTCTGTTCTTGAATATAAACTTGTTCTGAAATTTGTCAGGATTTGTTCCTTTGTTCTCCAGGTAACGCAAGCCCCCGCTATATACGATGCACATCTTACAATATTCCCTGCACCTCAGATATGGCCAAACAGTCCCAGGTTCCTCTAGCTGCTGTCATAAAGCCGCTTGCTACTCTACCCCCAGAGGAGGTGAGAGCTGTATGCAGTTACACATGTACTGTATGCTGTCTGAACTTGTCAGGGGAGTGTCGTTCCTTGTTCACGTTTAACAGATGCCTTGTTTAAATTTCAGCAGTAGATGTGTTTAAGTAAGGAGAGCTGGGTAGATGTTGCTTGTTCTGTAAATATGCAATAGAGAAGCAGAAAAGTGTTGTGTTCAAAATGTTTAGTGTTTTGATTGCCATGCTAATTTCTGCTATTTTTTTTTTTTATAGTAAGTGTCAAGCATTACTCTGACCAAATGACCAGAATGCTAGGATGTTAACAAATGCATGCACTTGCAATTATTTCAATTTCTTTCCTGGCCTGTGATATTTAGATTGTTACTAATCACTGACATTAAGTGTTGCCTGGGGTATCAAGTTGTGGAATTGGATGAGAGTGTATCAAGTAGCACTCATTAAGCTAATGTTGTGTACATGCACAGCACTGTGTGGATTAATTGACAGTGCAAGACTGAGCACCGGGTTCTGCTGAACTGTGCTTGAATTTCTGCATTCATTCTGTGCAGCCCTTTCTTCTAGCTGTAATAAGTGACTGGTTACCTCTTCTACCCACTCCATCTGGGGAGATAAAAGCTCCAACAATATTGGAGCTAGAAACTGTATTAAAAATATTACAAATACTGTGGTTACTGTGTAGCATTAGCTTACTTAGGGCAGTGACATAAAGACAAATAAATAAACTTGTGAAGTTTTAATCTAAATTTGCAGTATTCTGTGCCTTGTTAAACTTAACTTTAGCATCTCCTAAGGCAAGGAATGTCCTCTGGAGTTTAAGGGTAGGGATTATTTCATTTTATTAATCTTCCTAAACTGTTATTTAGATTTTGAAAATTGATTTGTGATAAAGCTGAATTGTGAAATTAATGCCTGCATTTCAATGAGGTTTAAAAGGAGCACAAGAAGTGAATGCTGTCTTGTTGTGCCTGCAGGTTTCTCCAACAGGATGGCATTCACCTCTTGTGCTCCTTTTAGTTACAAACCACTGCTTAACAGCTCTATGGTGTATTTAGGCTTTGGACAAACACTTCTGATACCCAGGGGAAAAAAAACTCATCTAGGATCAGAAAATTGTTCTGGAGACTGGTTAGCTTCCATCACTGGAAAGTTATTTATGACAAGGGCAAGCTCCCTGTGAAGGGGGCCGTTATGACGCATGAAGGCTCAGCTGTTCAGAGGAGTAAGACTGTAAAGAAAGCTAAAGCTTAACGTATCAGTAGTGAGAGGATACGTAAGACTGGTGAGAATGCAGTGTTTGGATAAATCTAGGATCTGCAAAATACAGGACCTGATTGTGAAATTACACAGCCTTTGTCCTGTGCTAATGCACAGTTTACATAGCAAATCTTAAGACTCCATAAGAAGAAACTCTGCCTTCTGGGAATAAGTGGTTAATAACAAGTTATATAGAGTAAGACATGTTTACAGCACCCTTGCATTTTTGGGTGGACAGAGGCTGAAGAAAAGGCTTTGGAAGCGCAATACCAACATTGCTGGCAATAATAAAACTTGAAATCTGGTTTCCTCTGAGGAGGTCAGCCTGGGTAGGATCTGGGAAACTGGTCACAGAGCCATTGTATCATCAATAAACGACCCCTGGAGTTGAATGAGAGCAGGGTCTGTGTCATGAAGAGGAAGAAAGTGCTTGTGTTGTTTGTTTGACTCATGCTCATAAAATATGTTCTTGTACAAGAACAGTGAGAGGTTTAGGGAGACTGAAAGAATGTAAATTGGGACACCGTTAGTGTCATGTAAGTTAAAAGTAAGCAGTTACACCTACTGTGCTAGATTCTTGATTATTTTGAAAGGTATGGTAAACTGTGAATACAGATCATAGCTTCCAAAATTTATTAATCATTCTACAGGGAGTCTTCCTCATTCTGTGACTGAGAAGCTGCACAGGTTGCCAAACATCTTAACATGTTTGTGTCAAAACAGATTGTTTTGTCAGTGATGGTTTAAAAATGGTTTGCTACACAGCAGTTTTAAAGGACTTGCTATATAATGGGGTCAGGGCAAGCAAAACTGACAGATATGCTTCAATTCATGGTGATCTTCAAGAATCAATGTGATCAGTTTAGAGTTTTGAAGTTAGTTTAGATGCTTTAAATTCTTAAATATGTGGAATGCAATCACTGACTTCTACTTCTTTAATCTTGCTCTTTGTGAAGGGGAAATATAAGAGGTAGAGAATTATTTTTAAAAAACAAGAAGTAAAAAATAAAATAAAATTGTGCTTACTCCTGTGATGTTATCACAGCTGTTATTTGCATAACTTCAGTCTTCTGTGTTCATCTGAGATCCATTCATGCTGTGAGTGTGGCACTCCTGCTCTTCAAGCAAGCTACTATATAAGGTAGTGCAGGACCATGCAGCAGTACTTGTTTGTGTCAAAGTAGGATAGCCCATTAGTGACTGCAGCCCACAAGGGAACTGCTGTGTTGAGAGATTGAGTTGAAAAACATTTTTGAAATACTTGTTCAGGCTTCCTCTGTGTTCTCTCCCACAGCTGCTGAAATGCTAAATCCTGTACAATGTACAGGGAAATTGTCTTAAGCTCTGCAGTATGTGTGGTCAATTTTATTTGTAATCATATGACCTTTCTTTTTGTTTTCCCTGCTTGCACAGACCCTTCCTTATTTGGTGGACCATGGAGAATCTGGTCCTGTCCGATGCAATAGGTGCAAGGCCTACATGTGCCCTTTTATGCAGTTTATTGAGGGCGGAAGGAGGTTCCAGTGCTGTTTCTGCAGCTGTGTCACTGAGGGTAAGGTTTCTTCTGAAAACCAGACTCTGGGCACTGTTGATCTTTGAACAAGATTCAAAGCGATGAATCTTAATTGTGTTACAGTGATTTATAATGTATGCTGTGCTTTAGCATATCTACTTTTGGGAAAACAACCACCAACTCCCCCCCCCCTAAAAAAAGTTCAATATTCAGTTCAGAAATGATGCTCAAATTAAGTAGGTGCTTATTCGTTGCAGCATTATTGCTGCAACTTTGGAACATGAAATACTTGTTGCATGATGTATAGCGTTTTGAGAAATTATTTGTGGTACTGAGATTAACCTTCAGACAGTAGCATGAATTAGGATTTTTTTTCTTGCAAAGCCTCTTTGGACACTATCTGGAGGTGAGATTGCAGGTAGATCTGCTGTGGCTGGATAGGAGTGTTCAGTATATGCCAGTCAGTATTTGTTGTTGTTCTAAATCAATATAAAGCACGTTCCCTCTTAAGCAGAAGCGGCTGTGTGCTGTTTGTGGGCTGGCATCTGTGGGTTTGTTTTGTGTGGACAGTGGAAATGCAGGGTGCAGCAGCATTGATTTTGAGGGTTTCGTTTGGTAGCACTGCTGGCTTTTGTTCTCATCACCTCAGTTACTCTGCATAACATGTCCATGGCAAACCAAAATAGGAAGTTGGCTGAGGCTGGAAATGGCTGGTTTAAGAAACAAACAAGAGAAACTTTTATGGTGATTTTTCATAGCCCATGTGCATTCTCTGACACTGTGCACTCAGCAGCTTTAAGAATGGCTGTACCTGCAACAACTGAGCAGCTGTAGAAAAGGGAAGGAAGCTCAGAGGCAGCCAATGAAAGAAATGCTGTGGAAGTATAATGTAGTTGTACCTAATACTTCAGAACAATCCCTATTTTCAGCATTAAAAAAAAAAAAAAATCAGCTTGTACTGAGTGTATACTTGGAGAGTAGAGAGTGATCTCTTTTTTTATATATACACAGTTTTAATGGTATCACTTTGTTTTGAACTGATGAAATTTTGAGTGGTTTGAGTAACTCATAGCAAAAGGAGTGGCTCAGTTTTTGGTGTGCCTAAACAGAATCAGTAATATTGAAGCCTACAGTTTGCATCAGATTCTATTGCAAGTCATTCTTTACTGCTTTTACAAGACTGGTATTTTTTCCTTTGGACTAAATCCTTCAGAAAAATCCAAAGAGCATGTTGCAATGATCTTTCTGATATGAAATGCAAAATGAGAATGTAAAGGAGATTAAAGAAAAGCACAGTGGTGACTATACAGCATGCCAGTTTGTGCATAAGACAAACTAGAAGCAGTTCATCTGTATCTGTTGGATTTAATGACATTCTTAATTGGAGCAGTGATTCTTGTAATGCTTGCAAACTAGCTAGTTTTCCTGAAGTTTCATCTGAACCAGCTGTTGTCACATTAGCTCTCTAGCAGCAGTGTTTATCATGGTCACATCTCTGAAGTTGCTTTTTTTCCCCCAGTGCCAGCTCACTACTTCCAGCATTTGGATCATACTGGAAAGCGAGTAGATTTCTATGATCGACCTGAGTTATCACTGGGTTCATATGAGTTTCTGGCAACAGTTGACTACTGCAAGGTACAGTATGTGTTTATTACTGTATTTTTGTTTTGCTTTTAAATATAAAGCAACTTTTCCATGACTGTAATAGTATTTTGTTATAGCTGCCTCTGTCATTCTCTTCTGGAGCTATATAACCACTTACAGCTGGGATATGTTTTGTCACCATAGCAATTCTGCAGGAGAAAGTGTCTCTATTTTTTTGGGGCACAAGGAGAAGGTAAAAGAGGTTCAAGAAGAATGCAGTAATAGTGATGATATGATGTGCCACTTGGTATGGAAAATGACCTTTACCTGTTGAAATTAAATTTCAGCTACTGCCATAGTTGTTAAAAACACAAGAATAGAATGGAAATACGTATTATTAGAGCTATCTCACTTTTGATTGAAGACTTAAATCCTAACTAACTTCTGAGGGTGACATCTGTGCAGTGCATGTTAAAGCAACTTAGAAAAATAGATACCTAAATGTTGCAATTCTACACTAGTTACCTTCTGATGCTTCAGGTTTAGTGAAAGGAAAATCCATTATGTTGCAATTAACAGCTTAGGATACATTTTTAAGTCAAATGAGATGTGGTCTTCCTGGCTCTTCTGAAAATTCTGGTTTCCTTTTTTTCTATGTGCTTTCCTTTCAATATGATCTACAGACTTCAGAAAGCTGTTCTTTTCCCAAAGTAGGCTTGATATATAAGTAGAAGGGAAAGGTTGCAGCTCCTGGAGGAAAATGTTTTGCTCTGTATTGAAGAAATCATCTAGAGCAAGTCCTAGACAAATTCCAGGGTCTTAAACTACAGGAGATGTCACACTCTACTTTCACTGTCTGTCCTGAGTTGTGGTTATGCTGCTGTTCACAGAACAAAATCTGTCAGGGACATGTAACACTGATCTGTTTCAAGCGTAGAGTGCTTACCCAACTTTGTTAGTTGGACACGGATGGAAAGTGATCTGAAGAAACAATTGCTTTTCATGGGTGGAATATACATGAAAGTTATTAGAGTTTGGGCCAGCATTCATTTGTTCATGTTACAGAGCTATTAGATGAACTTAATGTGATTTCTTTCCCCCTCTTCCACAGAATAACAAGTTTCCCAGTCCACCTGCTTTCATTTTCATGATTGATGTGTCTTACAATGCTGTGAAGAGTGGCTTAGTGAGACTAATATGTGAAGAATTAAAGTCAATCCTAGATTATCTGCCCAGGTAAGGTACATTGTAAATTGTTGTATCCAGTCCAAATGGAGGAAACTTACTTTCTCCCTTGGAAAAAAGCCTATGAAGCTTATTTTCACAATGAGATCAAGCAGGACATCTTCGAGTACTTTCTAGCTGTAACAGATTTCCTTCCTTTCATTTTTCCCTTATCCCTTACTGTGCTGTATAAATAATGATTACTTATCCTGTATAATGATTTCACTCACCGTCTACTTAGATGTGATGTGTGTCTCTCACAGGGAAGGCAACATGGAGGAATCGGCCATTCGAGTAGGCTTTGTCACTTACAACAAAGTATTACACTTCTACAACGTGAAGAGCTCGTTGGCACAGCCACAAATGATGGTTGTCTCAGATGTGGCAGACATGTTTGTGCCACTCCTCGATGGCTTTCTGGTGAATGTGAATGAGTCCAGGACAGTTATTGCCAGGTAACTTAAATTGAGTTATGATGTGTGTAGGAAATGTCTAGTTTGATAGATTCAGGCATTGCGTTTAAAAGTGTAATGTTCACTGTTTCTTTGTCCTGTTATACACCTAGAAATCACTCTATATATTAGCTTTGTATACTGTTTCAGATTAAACTTGCAGGACAAAACAGGACAATTCTTTAAGAGTGTATTTGGCTTGTAGTCCAGCTTGACAGTGGGTGCATATAATGGAATTTGGGGCAGGTGGGTCTTTATGGGTGAACAAGCAAACTTAAAAGAAAAAAAAACAAAAAACACAACTAATGTGATACAGAGTGTAATTTATAAGAATACTGAATCATTGTCTTTAAGGCAGTTGCCTGAGTAACTGTAAAGTAAGACAACAGATATTTCCAACTTTAGTTCTCTGGAGAAAATTAAATGAGCAGAATAGAGAAAATGAAATTTACAAGGGAAGAATAGGAAATTGACAAAACTTTAGCAAACTAATATTAATTAAACCATGATGTGTTGTTAAATTGGTTTTGGGAACTAGACAGTGCATGTTTTGTTGTTCTGGGTTTTTTTTTTTAATATAAATTATAGCTGTATATTTGTAGTGCATTAACAAGAACAAATACAAAGCTGTCCATTAAACCAGTTAATCTTTCAGTAGCACGCAGATTTTGGCAAAGAGGTGCAAAGTATTGGTAGGCTTTCTTAAGAGTTTATTTAGCAGTATACATTGGAGTATATTAAAAAAGCAAAATACAGAGGAGTTGTTGATATAGGCATCAGCTGAAGCTGCTGAGAAAGTCAGTAAGGGATGACAAAGCATGAGTTCTTTTCCACAGCAAACTAGTGACATGCCAAATACTAGGGAGAATAAGTGATTATGTATATAGACTTACACATACTTCATATATTGTTAGGGACACTTGTTTAAGCCACCTAGTCTAGTAGTTCACCAACAGCATCTCTATGTGGCTTTACCATTTAAATTTAATCTTCCTGAATTTTTCCTTTTGTTTTTTGTTAGCTTGCTGGACCAGATTCCAGAAATGTTTGCAGACACAAGAGAAACAGAAACTGTTTTTGGACCTGTGATCCAAGCAGGGCTGGAAGCACTGAAGGTTAGTAAATGTGTTGTCATGGCAAATTGTTTTCACTACTCTGAAGTTCATGTTCATACACTTCTAAGAAAAATCTGAAGTTTTTTCTGAGTCTTCTTGCTGTTGATAGACTTGGTACGTGTAGGGAGTACTTGGCTGCTAAAGAAGGTATATGTACTTCCAGTTCTGTGTAGGTGGCTCTTTTTTTTGCTTATTTTCATAAAGCATTTTTGCACAAAGCACAAGAAATGTGACTTAACCTTGGTGACCTGGCTGCATTTTTGCTCTGAGCAGTTTCTAGAACCTACCATAAAAAACCCCGTCCTTCCAGCATTAAAACCCAGTGCTGAACTCTATCATGTCTTATTTAGGCATTCTGTAGTGTGGTATCTTTCTAATGCTGTGCTTGAAATATAATCTTTAGTTAAAGGAAAGGAAGCAATCTATTAAGTTACCCATACCAATGTGTTAACCCAGAAGACTTTTCCAAAACTCTTCCATTCCAGTACTAGGTGACTGCATGTGTGATTTAACTCAGACTTGTGTGTACTGATCAAGTTAATTTCCTGTATGATTTTCCCCAGATCTGTTCTTATAGCTTTATTTGTCTGTCAGGAATGTTCTTAGAAGTATCCCCTATGCTTAAATTTGGTGGCAGTCCTTCAGTCAAGATACAATTCTAACTACCAGTTGAATTCTCGCATACTGAATTTGGCAGAGCAAATAATCTGCTAAAAACTGCTAATGTTCATATAGGCTTATTTAAAATGAATTTATTTAAAATTAAGGATTTCTCGAAAGTCAGATTACAAAGTCCTTTACCATTTCTATGACTGTCCACTGGAACAGGCTGCCCAGGGAGGTGGTGGAGTCTCCTTCTCTGGAGATACTCAAGACCCTTCCTGAACACCTACTTGTGTGACCTGGTGTAGGGGACCTGCTTTACCAGAGGGGTTGGACTCAATGATCTCTGGAGGTCCTTTCCAACCCCTATGATTCTGTGATTCTGTGACTTTTCTAATTCTACAAGCTCAGCAGCTGTAAATCAGAATAAACCAATCTAACTCACTTGTGCAAAACCTTTTTTAGCTGCTTTAGAATATTAAGATTTCCTTGTCATCCTGTAGCTAGTTCTTTTCTCCCTACCAGCGATCTAGCACAGGTTCAGAGGAACGGAAACTTCATTTTCTGTAACTGATCAGGAATCTGTGCTCCCAGTGTTAGGTATTACTGATATAACCAAGTAATTACTGAATCTGTGTCTGATGCATGTTTAGTTCCTTACATAAAGAAATGAAGCAACAAAGATGCTTGTATGCGTGTCCTTGAATCACATTTTCCCTGAAGAATTTTATTAAATGTTTCTAACCTGAGCAGCTTTACCCCCTCTCTTCTACAGGCAGCTGAGTGTGCTGGCAAGCTCTTCATTTTCCACACCTCTCTGCCCATTGCAGAGGCCCCAGGGAAGTTAAAGAACAGAGATGATAAGAAACTGATCAACACAGATAAGGAGAAGGTAACAATGACTTGCATGATGCTTATGGTACAGTTCTACATTGTACTTTACATGGGATAAAATTAACCTGACATCTCATTGAAAGAATGAGAAGGGGCTAGCATATAATGTAACCATCAAAGCTATTATCTTTCTACATTCTGCTTTTATCTTCTGCTCTCAATCAGAGATATGTAGACAGCTCTGGTACAAGAAGAAAAGGTATGTCCTAGTTTATTGTACAGGATAAAATACTATAGGTGTGTTAAAGTGAACAGAATTCAGGATTAAAGCAACGTGTGAAGTAATTTTCATGACATTTCATTGTTTTTCGAAGGCAGACTTAGGAAGACTTTCATATAACTCTGAGTTTCCTTAAGTGAGACTTAGCATAAGATTGTTTTGATTGTGATTATAACCCCCACCCCATATACTTTTCTTTTTCTTTAACCATAAACTTTTTGTATTGTCTCTGACTTATTTTCTTAGACTTTGTTTCAACCTCAGACAAGCTTCTACAACAATTTGGCCAAGGACTGTGTAGCCCAGGGCTGTTGTGTGGATCTGTTCCTGTTTCCAAACCAGTATTTGGATGTGGCAACATTGGGTGTAGTAACTTATCAGACAGGAGGCTCCATTTATAAGTATGCGTATTTCCAGGTAAGAGTCCTGTTGAATCAGACTGATACTTGGTCTGAATAGAAGTTACTGTTCTTTGTGGTGTAAACCATAGTGAAGAAGAAATTGAAGTAACACTTTATCTCCAAAGTGGTGCAGGAGTCTTGCCAAAAGATTGTTAGCTTTGCCTTTACACAAAGAATGTATGAAGAACAACAAGTTATTCTGTTAACTTCTAGCATGATAATATAGCAGTAGGGCACTAAGCACAACGTGCTGACTGTTTGTTTTTTTTTTTTCCAAGTACTCCTGCAGTGATGCCTTTTTAAAAATTACTTTGTAGTTTGTGTAGCAGCTCTGATTTATGGTGAAACTTGAATTATTTATCATGTTGTAGCTTGAGACAGACCAAGATAGGTTCCTGAATGACTTAAGAAGAGATGTCCAGAAAGAAGTGGGGTTTGATGCTGTGATGAGAGTACGTACAAGCACAGGTGGGTGTTAGCATGAGTAAGTTTTAATAAATTAACCACTTAAAGCATACCATATGGGAAGTAACAGTTTTTGCCCTTATTTAAGACTTTCTGAGACTATGCCATGCAAAAAGTTCTCTTAAAGCTTTGTCATTTTAACGTTTTGTAAAGACTGAAAAAAGATTCCTGCTGAAGTCTCTTGAGATAATTTGTTGTTTTCCTGATGATGGGATTTTCAGGATTCCAGAGGCTGTCTTGTTATTCTGCTGAAAAGTACAACTTATTTATATACTTCTTTGTATCCTCCTTTTGTAGGCATTCGAGCAACTGACTTTTTTGGAGCTTTTTATATGAGCAACACAACTGATGTGGAGATGGCAGGCTTGGACTGTGACAAAACAATCACAGTTGAATTCAAGCATGATGACAAACTGAGTGAAGACAGTGGTGCGCTCCTCCAGGTGAGGTGGAGGGCAGAAGGCTTTCTAGAAAAAGGATGGGAACTAATTCAGAATTCTTATCAGAAGTGTGCCAAGGCCAGAACCAAAGCCTAAGTTGGTAGTGTGCCAATTGAAGAGGACGACTGTTGCCTTGAAACTGACATTCCCTCAAGGAACTGTTCATTGTTTCTGTCCATTAATGTTGCCCTAAATTTTCAGGATATATGGCCTTAGGATGGCCTCAAAAGCTTCAATCCACAGACTATTTTCCAAGACAAGTTTCTATGATTAAAAATGCTTGCCACTTGTTATCTTTCGTTGATGCTGATACTTAGCAGATGCTTTTAGTTTATTGTGCAAATCCTCTACATAATTTTCTTGCTTGTTAAAGCATCTGAGTCTTAATTTTTAAAGAAGTATGCTCAAGCCCTGCCTAGCTTATTGTAACAGTGTCTCATTTTCCTATACCCTGGTGTTTTTGTCTCATACAGTGTGCTCTGCTATATACAAGCTGTGCAGGGCAGCGGCGACTTCGGATTCACAACCTCTCACTGAACTGTTGTACACAGCTTGCTGACCTCTATCGAAACTGCGAGACAGACACACTTATAAATTACTTGGCTAAATATGGTAAGAATAGATATGTTAACAAGAGTCCTAAGCCTTAACTGCCGTTCAGATTGTCATTCAGTGACACCTGTTCAGTCTTTGTGAATCAAGTGTCAGGGAGCAATCTTCATACTTCAGCCACTTAGGAGAAAGAGCACAAAGCTGTGAAGATAATATTGTTGCTTAGGACAAGAGTTTCAAGTAGAAGGTGTAGCCTTATCCTACAACTTGTTACCTATATTTTTAGAGCTTTGTATTGAAAGCTGTCTGAATTCATAGTTGTTTATTTTTGGACCATTTGTCCAAAAATATGCTTCAACTGTTTGTACTTGAACTACTCCCAAACTATAAACAATAGTTGTTTAGACTTACTTTGTGGAAATAGTGTTGGTTTTTTTTAACTGTTTGTCAGCAGACATTTCGTAACTGTTCCATTTATTTCTCCTTTCTCTGCAGCATATCGTGGAGTTCTGAATAGCCCAGTAAAGGCTGTACGAGATTCACTGATAAATCAGTGTGCCCAGATCCTGGCTTGCTATCGAAAAAACTGTGCTAGTCCATCTTCTGCTGGCCAGGTAAACTCTGATGCTTTAATTTGAATCATGGACTTAGATACTAAAATGTGATTTTAGCAGATTCCTTGATTATTTTGCCTATTCAAAAAAATAGAAAAGGAGAGTACAAGTGAAACTACGGTTGAGAATGGCTTGTTGGACAGTTTTCTGGAGCTCAGAAAGCACTACTTGCTCCAGTTATGTTACTTTTGCAGGTCCATATTGTATATAGATTGTCACTTTTCTATTCTCGCATTTGTGCCACACTGTTGGTTCACTCTAGGCTTGTTTTGTCAGGCATAAGCTTACTCAGCAAGAGAGCTGAACATCTTCTGTATGCTTGTGACTTGTAGCTGATTCTTCCTGAATGCATGAAGCTGCTTCCTGTCTACTTGAATTGTGTGTTGAAGAGTGACGTCCTTCAGCCTGGTCCAGAGGTCACAACAGATGACCGTGCCTACATTCGTCAGTTAGTCACATCCATGGACGTGGCAGAAACAAATGTCTTCTTTTATCCCAGGCTTTTGCCCCTGGTGAGTCTTTTGAGACGTTTGTAACGCTTGAGATTCGCTGTTGTCTTGACTTGTCCCAGTGACTGGCATTTGTGTTTTATCAGTGGAAAACCATTTGAGAGGTATTTGGGATCTGGCATCCATTGAGATACTTGAGTTAATTTCACTCAGTGATGGCTGTATTTCTGCCTCTTGTGAATTTGTCGGAGGATTTGCTCTGAGCTGTGAGCATGTAACCAGTGGCATGGAAAAATCTTTTAAATCTGTGGTAGCTTTTTTTTTTTTTTTTTTAAATTGTAAGGCTTTTTGTAATCTTGCTGTAATTTTAGTTGTTGCAGGGAAATTTCTCTTACTATTCTCGCTTTCCAGTATATTGTAGTTGTTGAAATAACACTAAATACTAATTACATTAATGCTCCAGGAAGCAGTATTGAAACTACAGATTACTTTCAGAGCAACTTCTGTTTTCTTTTGTTAACCAATAGTCTCTTACCAGTGTCTTGTTCAATAAGAAAACTAGTCAAGAAAGATGGTACTTCAGTCACAGCTACTGCAGTGTTATAAACATTAAAAAACCTCTAGGATCTTGTGACAGAAATTTTCCAGACTTCCTAAATGTTTTTGTTTTGTAACTCTGATTTTTTCACTCTAAATCAGACCAAAGCAGATGTTGACAGTGACTCCTTACCGGCAGCAATCCGAAACTCAGAGGAACGTCTCTCCAAGGGTGACATCTACCTGCTGGAGAATGGGCTGAACATCTTTGTGTGGGTGGGAGTGAACGTGCAGCAAGGCCTGATCCAGAACCTCTTTGGAGTGTCATCCTTCAGTCAGATTAGCAACACCTTGGTGAGCTGGATGGCAGTGTGGGAGATGCTGTCTGTGATAGTTGCCCAGTAGTTGAAACGTTGAGAAAGCAAGTTGAGAAAATAGTTTTAACTTTTTTGTGTTAATAACAATGAGAAGCATGGGTGTATGAAAGTAGCGGAGACATCCAGTCTGAGCATGTACACTTCCTTTTGCCTAGCTTAATCTGGCAAGCCACATTGCCATTGGTGATAAGGAGAACAGCTGATACAAAAATAATCAATCTTTAGTTTTGATACCATGTGACATTTCCTTTTGTAATAGCAGAAGTCAAGGAAATTGTGACAGTAAATATATTTGTAATGTTACATAATGTGCCAGTCCTGCTGTGTTGTTTTTGTTTTTGCTGGCTTTGTTTAATGCTGTTATATTTCTCCACCTGACTAACGGGGATTGGATATCTTCCATTCCAGAGTACCCTGCCTGTCCTGGAAAACCCCTTTTCAAAGAAAGTACGGTCTATTATTGACATGCTTCACCTGCAGAGATCCCGATACATGAAGGTAAAAATGCTGATCGTTATTCACAGCTCTTATTCACCTCTTTGACTCCTGGCAAAGCAGGTGATGCTAATCCTGTTCATGTAAAACCTAATGCTGAACACAGTCTTAACAACTGTGATTCAAACTTACACATTTTTTCAAGGATCTGAAAAAAAAATCTGGTATTAGTTTTAGAGTTCATGCTTACCAAGCTCTAAAGCTAATGATTTTCAATCTAATTATACTTCTCCACAAACTATGTATGTGGAGTTTTCTTTATAAATATGACTGAGACTTAACACAAGTATGAAAGTGAAAGCACAGAAGGTCTATTTGCTGTGTTTCTAGTTGTCTTGGTTGTATTTTGAGCTATCTAGCTTTTTTTTTTTTCCCAAGAGCATGAACTGTACTAACTATCGTGTTTTTGTTGGCAGTTAATAATTGTGAAGCAAGAAGATAAGCTGGAAATGCTCTTCAAACATTTTCTGGTGGAGGATAAGAGCCTAACTGGGGGGGCTTCATATGTGGACTTCCTGTGTCACATGCACAAGGAGATTCGGCAGCTACTGAGCTAGAGGAGGGAGTGGTGCTGGAACTCAGCAGTGACATTTCAGTCTTCTCTAATGATCTGATCGGAAGGTCCAGCGCCCTCAAAAAGGACAACATAGAAATCTGTACAATTCCATAATTTTTAATACACATGACATACGCAGAAATCCTTTCAACCTCTCCTGGTCCCATATGAGAGATGAATTCTTTTTCCTGGTGAGGGCTAAAAAAACAAAAACAAAAACAAAAACAAAAAAAAAAAAAAAAAAGGGCCTTTGATACCAGGTCTTTTACTTGTATCTAAATTGTTTCCTGTGCTTGGCAGGAGTTCACCCCCCGCCCCATGCTCGCTAATCCCGTTGTAATGAATGTAGGTTTTTTTTTTTTTTCAGTTCACTGTACATGATTCAACATTGGGTGAAAAAGCGATAACTTCAAAATTTCTAGTAGTTGCTGTGTGTTTGTATGGGCGCGTGGGCATGCTCCTACTGTACAGAGGGTGTGCAGGTTGGGAGGGCAAGAGGCAGGTTGGGTGATGGGAGCTGAAGCAGCCAAACATTTCCTTTCTCTTTGTAGAGGAAGAATGACATTGCAGAGCACAAGTGTATCGTATTTGTCTGAACCAGAAATCTTTCCCCCCCAAAAAAAGCATAGAAAGCCAGTAGGCAGCAAGACAGATTTATTTCTGCTTTCTTCCCTGTACTGTAAGTTGATCTGCAGATCTGCACTGGAGGAAGTAATAGTTCAGTAACTATCAACAGCTTCTGAACAGCACAGGGGTAGTTAGTGCTTCTTGTTGGTATGAGTGGTGACTCCTTTCTTTCTCATTTCACAGCCCTGTGATAATATTCCACTCAGTCCATGTTCTGTAGACTCTCTTCTGCTGCAGAAGAATCTATCCAGATGGCAGTGAGAGCAAAATCCTCTTAAAGTTAAGCAGAAAATACTGTTAAAAGGTGATTTGGGGCTGTGTGGGAGCTGGATGATAAGGAACTGGCCCCTTTGGGCCACACTTGTAATTCATAGCAGACAAGCAGGAGTATGATTTCTACTGACCCAAATTTGAGACAGCTTCGTGTCCTGGATTACAAGGAATGGGGGACAAAAACTGAGGTTTAGACTGCCCTGTGTTAGGTGTTGCAAGTACCTGATTTCAGTTACTGGGAAAGGTTTTGGCCGTAGTGAAGTTTCATCACTGGATGTTTATACCCGCTTTCCATTCTACCTATCAGCTTGCACAAATCCTTTTTATAAGCCTATTTGTTAAACTAAAATACCTCAGACACGAGTCCATCCACATTGGCCACTCTGCCACTCCATTCTGCGGGGATGGTTGAGAAGAATTCTGTGAAGAAGGAGCAAGTGCAAATCAGATTCAGAATTTTAAGGGCTTTGATCCTTCACTATGGGAAGGGGATTGTGTAGCAGTTGGGCACTTAACAAGTGTTCTTAAACTTCCCTGGAGTTTGAGCACTACAAGGGGGAGGAAAAACTGTGGGTGGTTAGAGGAGTTATTGTCTGGGCTTGATGCTTCAGAGAAACGTTCTTATTGGGATCAGAAAAATATCTGGCTGTGGTTTTAGTTCCATATCCTGTAGCATGTATATAAATCCATTTTTCTTATGACGCTGCTGATTTGTCTTCCCTCCCATCACTACATAGAAAAGGGAGTATGGAGAAACTCTGACAAAGTAGTTGACAAAACCTTCCTTGTTTTTGTATGAATGTGGCTGACGTTTTATTCCATGCATTGCCTCCAACCAAAAGAGCTAGAGGATTTTTAACCACATGGGGAAAATCTTCCCAGGAATATAAGGCTCAGCAACCACAACTTTCCACAGATACTAATTTCTAGTGTTAATACTGAGGGGCGTGGGGGGTGAAAATGAGATCGTAAAATGAACCTTTCATTTTCTTCACTTGTTTTTTTTTCCAATGCATCTTTTAATTTGTAAAGAAATAAAAATATATTAAGATGTATTTTATGTCATTGTTAGTAAATAAACACTGCTTATTTTTCCAAACCCTGTATTTTGCGGGAGGGAGGAGAGGGGAAGGGCTGCAGTCTGGCCGGGTGCTCCTTCACAACCTGTTTTTCTGCGGAGCAGCTTTGCTCCTTTCTTGCGAACGGCGATAAGAAATTCAACGAGAGCAAACGCCCAAAAGGCGCTGTTTGATCTCAGCGAGGTATTTTTTTTATTTCAGAACTTGCATTTTGCAGCGAGCGGTCTGCAAGTACCCCCTTTCCTTTCATTTCTATACCAAAGGCGTTATTTCCAGGTTCGTGCAGGAGAGCAGCTACACGTGAGCTCATTCAGAACAGCGGCTCCGCCGGGAAGGAGTCCCGCTTCCGTCGCCGGCAGGACGGAGCCGAGCTCAGCCCGCTCGCTGCGCTGGAGGCAGAGAGGACGTGCGTTCTGCTCACGTCAGAGCGCAGACGCGCGGCGCCCCCCGCTCTCCCCCCCGCCCCGGCGGCCGCCTCCCGCGCGCCTCCTCACGCAGCGCCGCCCGAGGGCGGGCCCGGCGCAGCCGTTTCCTGGCGGCGGGGCGGCCGGCGCGGGCCGAGCGGCGGGGCATGGGAGGCGGAGGGCCGGGCCGCCCGACGCGGCGGGGACCCGCTTGCCTCTGGGTGACGCTGGCGCTGGCGTGGGGCGCGGGGAGCCGGGCCGCCGCGGGGGAGGGGGAAGGAGACGGAGAGCCCGGGCCGGGGGACGCGGGGACGCCGTGCGGGGCGGAGGGCTGGGCGCAGACCGCCGTCCCGCCGGTTCCGGCCTTCGCGGCCGCGGCGTCGTACCGCGGGCCGGGCAACGACGACGCGCGGGGCGACGAGGCGCTGCCCATCCTGCTGTGGTGGAGCGGCAGCCTCTTTCCGCACTTCCCCGGCGACACGGAGCGCATTGACTGCCCGCGGGGCTCCTGCCTCGTCACGCGCAGCCGGCGGGCGGCGCGGCACCGCCGCACCAAGGCGCTCATCTTCTACGGCACCGACTTCCGCGCCTACGAGGCGCCGCTGCCCCGCCTGCCCCACCAGACGTGGGCGCTCTTCCACGAGGAGTCGCCCATGAACAACTTCCTCCTCTCGCACCCGCCCGGCATCCGCCTCTTCAACTACACGGCCACCTTCCGCCGCGAGTCGGACTACCCGCTGACTCTGCAGTGGCTGCCCGGCGCGGGTTACCTGCGGGGCCCGGCGCTGCCCCTGGCCGAGAAGGACGAGTGGCGGCGGCGGGGCTACGGGCCGGTGCTCTACGTGCAGTCCCACTGCGACGTGCCCTCGGACCGGGACCGCTACGTGCGGGAGCTCATGAAGTACATCCAGGTGCGTGCGGCGGCGCGGGACGCTGCGGGAGCCGGGTCCGCCTGGCCGAGCCGCTCCGTTAACGGGGCGCGTTTGTCCTCGGTTCTGCCGAGATGTGAGTCGTAACGGGGAGCGGCAGGCCGGACAGAAAGGCTAGCTGCGTGCCGGTGGGAGCTGCTGGGCGCTGCGGGGTTGGCCGGCTTGCGATCGGCAGAAAGTTATGCCGAGCCTGCATAGATCTTGCGGACCGAGCGCTGTGTGCTGCTGGAATCTGGAGCTTCAGGTGAGCGGGAGGGAAGGAAGGCTGCGAGTCCATTGGCGAGCCTTGCTCCCACTTGCAAGAATGGGCGTGCAGTTTGCCGTGTTTTGAGAGTCTGCTCCTCGTCTGCCTTGTGGTGGGGCTCTGCTGTGCCTGTTCCGGTTGGCTCTGCTGGGGCACCGCCTGTGGAGAGCAGCTTCGCAAATTGAAACAGCTCCGCTTCTTTGGGGTGGAAACAAATTTAGTGCTTTCTTTTCTTAAAAACTAAAGGATGGTCGATAGGGGAAATCTTAGAAACGTTTTCTTCTGAGTTGATTCTGCTGTTTCTATTAGCAGTGATTAATTTCTTATGCAAGTTCATTGTTTGTTAAGTAACAAAGCAAAGGCAAAATCTTTTTAGAAACCTGCCTCTGTATAGTCAAAGCACGAAGCAGACCCTGGATCAAGTATACTCTTTGTTTTTCCACAGTACTCTTCCAGCTCCCTACATCCATCATTTTTTTCAGTCTAACAAGTGGAAATTTTTGCCAAACTGCTGAGACTGGAAGCTGTGTGAAATCATTGTTTGGAAAAGGCCTGCTCCCTACGAAGTAGAAATATGACTTTTAAACCGAAATGGAGGAAGCTGGATGCCCTTTCTTAACTCTTAGTTTCTTCTTAGCTCTCTAATAAATACATTTTTGTTTTTTTTTTTCTGTAAAATCTTGTTTCTCCTGTCCTCTGCCTTACTTGTAGTTTATGCTGCTTTTGGAACTGAGCGTTCAGTTTATGACTAAAGCTGTTACAAGAGAAGTGGAAATCTGGGAGTCATCCAGATGGAATGAAGTTGGGAGTAAAGCGAGGCTCAACTGAGGTAGTTAGGAACTGATTAAAGTTAGGAATTTTAGGAGGACTATGAGCTCCAGGCAAAAAAATCACTTTGTGTAGATGACTTGTTATTTTGGTTATTTTATAGGTTGACTCCTATGGAAAATGCCTTCATAACCGGGAGCTTCCCAGCGAGCGACTGAGAGACACTTCAACAGCCACTGCAGAAGATCCCGAATTCATGGCTTTTATCGCCAGGTACAAGTTCCACCTGGCCTTGGAGAATGCCATATGTAACGACTACATGACAGAGAAGCTGTGGCGTCCAATGCATTTGGGTGCTGTCCCAGTGTACCGAGGCTCCCCAGCCGTGCGGGACTGGATGCCAAACAACCTCTCCATCATTCTTATCGATGACTTTGAGAGCCCCCAAGAGCTGGCAAAGTATCTTGATTTCCTTGACAAGAATGGAGAGGAATACATGAAGTACCTAGAGTATAAAAACCTTGATGGCATCAAAAACCAGTTCTTGCTAGAGAACTTGGAGAGGCGGGAGTGGGGTGTGAATGACATGACTTTGCCCAATTACCTGAATGGCTTTGAGTGCTTCGTCTGTGACAGGGAGAACGCCCGGGTCAGAGCGGAGCAGGAGCACAAAAAGTCTGGTGGGAAAACTCCAGCTCCTGCACCTCACATAGCTCATTTCCAGCACATGGGATGCCCTATGCCAACCCCTGGGTTTGGAAGTATTGAAGACCTCCCTGGGGAAGACAGGTAACTTACCAGTACAATACTTCTTGAGTCAGAAAAGCTTTAAATAATATACATTATAATATATATTATATATAATATATAATATTTGATACTTAAAGCATCTGTTAGTACATTTCCAGTTATACTTCATATTATGCCTTGTGGGTGCTATGGCAGTTCTGCTAATATTGTGTAACACTGAGGCTGAAGAAAAGGCTTGGCTGGTGGTGCTGGTTAGTGGTTGAGAGACACACAATAATATGTTCTGATGCTCTGTGACCTTGGGCAATTTGTTTCTCTTTTGTCTACCTTTTCCTTATTTTGTTTACTGCTTGTAGGGGGAGTGTTATTCAGTGCAGTGCACTGAGAATGGCTTAGTTTGGAGGGGACATTAGTTATCACCCAGTGACAACCACCAGGTTGGGCTGCTCAGGGCCCCATCCAGCTGTCCTTGAATGCCTCTAGAGATGGGGCATCCACAGCTCTCTGGTCAGTCTGCCAGTGCTTCATCGCCCTCTGAGTAAAGAATTTCTTCCTAACATCTAAACTAAATCTCCTCTCTTTTAGTTTAAAGCCATTCCTTCTTCTCCTGTCACTGTCAGACCTTCTGAAAAGTTGGTCCTCCTCCTGCTTGTAAGTTCCCCTCAAGTACTAGAAGGCTGGAAGTGAGGTCTTCTCAGAGCCTTCTCTTCTGCAAGCTAAATAAGGCCAGCTTACTCAACCTTTCTTCATAGGAGAGGTGCTTCAGCCCTCTGAGCATCTTCATGGCTCTCCTCTGGATCCACTCCAGCATCGCCACATCCATCCTGTACAGAGATCCACTTGCTAGCCTGTGTTTGGGAGAAGCCCTGTATCTCATTTTGAATGAATACCTGAAGAATAGAGTTGCTACAGTGTTTAGCATGGGCCTCATTCACTCCTGTTGACTTCTTTTAAAGCAGAAGTATGGCTCCCCCGTTGTACTTCACAAGATACTTTGTGGCATCGGAACAAAATTTTGGCCTATGCTGAAGGACACAATCCCATTTTTTCAGGAGAGGGGCCCTGCAGCACAAAATAGATTCTGTGCTTTTTGTCCTTCTATGCAGGGATTGGTACAGGGATTGGTACATAGGAATCCCTATGGAGGGATTGCTGGAATCTGCCACTGTTGCAGTGAGCCCTGGAGCTGCCCTGAGGGTTGTCAGACAGGAATAAGGACACCAACGCAGAGGCAACTAATTTTGACAGGAGAGAAAGATTCTGGTTTTGTTTTCATGGTGTGCTTAATCCTTAGTGTTTGTACTGACTTGGTACAAAACAAGTCAGTGTTTGGGTTCCCAAACCTCAATTTTGCCATGGACAGTGTTTGAAGTGTCAGCTGTTGGATGGAAGGGTTGTTGCAGTTCCTAAAACCTGTGCTCTTTGTAGTTCATATTGGTAGCGTAACATACTTGCATTCTTCCATGTTTGTTATTGTTCTCTGCGTGGTCTGCTACAATTTCCTTCTAGGAATATATTCAAATGTCTGCAATTCTGAGCCATCAGACAGCGAGTTGCAACACTGCAACGTGCTGATGTTAGTCCCACTGTAGGATTAATGACTTCATGAAAATACTGAAAAGATCTGATACACTGTCCAGAAGGAAGTTGTTAGTATACTCTATCATAACTTATATCAGTTTAGAGCTTTCTTAATAATTTCCTAGACTGAGGACTTGAATACTTAGGAGGAAATACTAGAGGAATACCAGAGTTGAAAATACAAATTTTCAAATAGTCTGTAACCTAAAACTGAATTCTGTGTGGATTTGAAGCTCTAAAAAAAATTTTGTAAGGTTACCTGTCCACTGTAACTAGAAGAAAAGACAGAGAGCTATTTCTTCCTATGTTTGGGTGCTTTTGAAAATGGCCAGCTGAAATAAAGAAAGAAAAATAAGCTGAGGTAATTTGGTTTCTTTAGGATATCCCTATCCCACAGAACTTGTCATGCATGTCACTAAGGAACATTCATGATACAATTAATTCTTGTGTTGAACAATAGAAAAGTTATGCTGGTATGTTAAACAGACCTGTCTTTGTAGTCCTTTGCTTTCTTGAGGTTAGTTGATTTATCAGTCCTGATAGCAAAACATGCTTTTCTCTTGTCATGTGCTCTGTAGTATCCTAGTCTGTGTGTGTCAGCGTTCTCTTCTTCATAAATCTTCTTGTACTTGAGCAGCAGATGGCAGCAAAGAAATAAGTTTGAAGACATGGCATGGGGTGCCTATGCCGCTTAATGCACAGTAAAATACTTCAACTTCCTGTGCAGTGCTCATGAGCACGGAGTTTTGTAGAGATGTAACCCAAAGTACAGCTGCATCCCAGGGAAGTTGCCATATCTTGCTGAAACATGGTATTCTCCCACTGCTTAACGGTGTCTCCAAAATATTGTACCAGGGAAACTTGTCCATTATCTGCGATCTGCTTTAGAAGATACATATATATACACCTTCTGGGGCTTAATTAAGAGGATCTCCAGTGAAGCATTGTGGTTTCTGTCCCATAAACATTGTATCTCCAAAATGCAAGATGATCACTACAAATAACACAACAGAAATTCAAAATTGCTACCAGAACGTGTTCAGGTAATGTTTATTTTTTTGTCAGGAATTCTGCAGGAATATTTTGACAGCGACTCAGTCAATTTAGATAACCGTCTACTGAGCCATCAATTATTAATTTATTTCTTTACAAAACACCATTGTGGAAAAACAGTGCAGGGATATAAATGGCAAAAGGTATGCAGCATAGAAGGTCTGACTGTGAATGTTCTGTGGGCTCTGGCAGCTTCGGGAACACCGAACAACAGACCCAGATCAAGTCTCCATATTGTGGAGTTAGAATCCTATTACGTGGTTATGCTGTGCACATGTGTGTGCTCTAAATCTTATTCACAGGTGCCCGTTTTTTGTATTGACGAATGTGCTCAGTTGACTGAATATCTCTAACAAGTGTTTGTAGCCAGAGCACATCACTGAATCTTTGTTTTGCTGTCCTTTAGCTCTGAGTGTGGGGATGAAGTCAGTCACTGTATAGTATATAGTCACCTTATAGTGTACTGTATAGAACTCCGGTCTGCTTTGTGCAGAAGACAGGAGTTGCAGCACTCCTCATGATGAAAACATGTTTGGCAGGAACTGGAATCTACAGTTATTATTATCACTGCATTGTTGTGTCTCAGTTCTCTCACCTTTGTGAAGAGAAATGTTTTGTTTATTTCCACAACATAAAGTCATTTCCCAGATAGGAAGTGGGGTTTTAACAGGATAAATACAAGAAGGCTGTGTTATAATACCTTTCCAGTCACCTGAACAGTTTTAATCTGTGGTTGTGTGTGTGTGTGTGGGGGGGGGGTTTATATATGTATTTTTTTCCTTTGATCTTTTCAAGAAAAGAAAAGCCGGTGTGTCTTCAATAAGGTTTTGAAATTGTCATGGTTTTACTACTTTTATTTTATGGCGATGTCACAGTTTGTTTAGGACCAAGAAAAACAGTTGGGAAGCGTATCAGATTTGCCACACATACAGTGCAAGGTATTTCTTGCAGTAGAAGTGTGTAACCAGCCAGGATTAAAGGTGGATCCTTAGCTTGTGGTAGTAACATTCCAGGTGTATGTAGTTGGTAGTTTCAGGGGATTTCTGCAATTGTGTTCATCCTGGTGTGCCAGTTTTTGTCCAAGTTATAGAATGAGAGTGCATCTTGTTTCTTCAATAACAGTAGGAAACAGTAGGGATGGTATGAAAAGAGAAATACAAAAGCATTCTTGTTTAACGTGCTTGACAAAACATTTGTTTGGATACTGGGATTTCTCTTAGTGTTGTGATAGAATTCAGCCACAGAACAGTCACTTTCTGTTGCCCACTGCCTCTTGGCCTTGTGCCTGGGTGAGGGTATTCACTAATGGGTGCCCTCACTCAGTGCTGCAAAAAACATGTAACTCACATTGGCGCTCCTTGAGCAAAGGTTGAAGAATTGAGTGGTGAAGCAGAGCGGTCTCACAGTGTGTCCAAGTGCTTCATTTTACCTAGGAACCTGTAGGCAGATGTTTTTGTATGCAAAAGTAAGCCTCTGTGATCCTTCATATTGTAATCAACGCTAACAGGTTAATTTTGAGCAGAAATGTCCCACCACAGATGATTCTGTTAACTACAAAAACCAAATTCTCATGGAATACAAGCTTTATGCTGCTTCAGAATGAAAGTGCTTGTAACGTGTTCTGCATTTCATATGCTTTTCCTGGAATAGTGGCTGAGATCTGTTTCTGGGCAGTGCAGTCATGCTGGCTTTAATGTATGATGTCGAGAGTGAATGTCGAAGTACTGCACTTCTGTCTGCCAGGGAGAAGCACTCATGGGAGCAGATTAAAAAGAGCCTCACATTTGGTCTGTACAGAATTTGTGCTGATTTGATGGGGCTGGGTAGCAGCTGTAGTACAAAAGAGGTAATCAGTCTGTCAGGAAAGAAGGATAGTAGTTACTAGCTGAACAAATTGTTGCTACACCTCAATACAACAGAAATGAGAGACGTAGTCCGCCTTAATGTGAATGGGAAGGGAATTGGTGTGCTGTGTGTGCAGTAAGAACGTTGAGAATGGGTGCACTGAAAATGGTCTGGAGAAAAAGAGTAGAGCCAGCTGGAGATGTCAGGATTGCTCTCTCGTCATGCATTCCCTGTTCCAACTAACAGGAATTCTGTACATGTTTAATGGCTTGTCTGAAAAGATTGATACCTTGATATCTGTAGCACACATTCTGGCCATGGAAGGCTACTCTTAAAGTTGTATGAGGACTACAGGATTTTATTTTAATAGCAGATTTTATTCCTCACAGTTCATGATTTAGTCTCTCTGACTAATGCTATTCACATGCTGATATTTCCAAAGTGGTCTGAAGGTAATAGCAAGCTTGCTTTCCATGGAGAATTTTCATAGCAAGTTACTTCAGGTGGGTTGGAGCACAACGGCACAGAAACAACATACATTGTCATGACCATCTCTGTTTTCCTCTTAGATGAAAGGGAAAAACAAATATTAATGCTGTTAGAGCTCAGACACGTTTGTGTTGTTTTTGTTTTTGTTTTTTTAAATGATGTCTCTTTTTTTCTTCATTTGTTTCAGTTGGAAAGAGATGTGGCTTCAGGACTATTGGCAAAGCCTTGATCAGGGTGAGGCCCTCACTGCTATGATTCATCACAATGAGTCACATCAGGGAAGATTTTGGGATTATATGCAAGAGATTTTTCTCAAGAGGACCAGGCAACACTGATCCATCCCTTGGTTTGAAAATTGCATTGAAAGTTGTGACTGAGAATTCTTACTTCTCTCCAGATATTTGCCTTCAAATAGAAGAAACTCTTGCAGACTGTTTTTCTGGTGCATGAAGTGAGTGATCCTCTGCTGTGATTTCAGCTGTGGAGATGTTAGCAACTGAATCTTGTATCTGAATTTCAGCTCTGTGGTGTGAAGCTCCTCCTGACATGCAGGAGGAGCAGAAGAGGAATTTTGCATTTGGTATTGCTTCCCTGTGGCTTCCTTGATTTCAAAGGAATGTATTTCAGACTCTGCTCAAATGCCCTAAGTTATTTCAGGAACTTTTTTTTATATTCATAACACTTGTTTTTTTTTATATTTTACCACATGCTCTCCTCATTAAGTTATACTTTTACCTAATATTAACAAATAGCTTTTCCAGTGAATATATTCTGAAGAAGACTTATGTCTGTGGAGAGCAGTTGTGCCTTATGAAATTGCAGCAATAAAGTCTCTTCTCTCCAAGTAAACGTGCCTCAAACTTTCCTCCTTCTCAGGATAACTGAACAGCTATAGGCAAGTCACTTACTCTGCCTCATTTTTCTCTTACGCTAACTTTCCAGGTGACACATACAAATGGGACAAGAGTCTAGATTGTTGGATTCACAACTTTGAACCAGATATTTAACAACAGAGTATTGCCTGGTATTGTGCAGAACCAGGGTAGAATGAGCAGCTTTGTTTCTTTTAAGTTTCTGTAAAACCTTAAAATCCAACAATAATCTTGACTGATTGATTTCTCAGTGCGATTCAAAGGCCTTTGATTTGTTCTTCTTGAGTATCTGCATCTTTCTGCAAAGACAAATACATTTTAATGGTGGTGCTTTTCCAGTGCTTCCTCCAGTTTGGAGATGAACCTTGCAGTCTTTTTGTGCTGAGATGGATGATCAGAATGGGGAACACGGAGGTGGCTTTGTATCTGTACCTAATCTTAATGCAGTAGGATCCTGGTCTGTGACTGGAGTTCCTCAAAGTAAGTGATCACATATAAATCATCTTTGCTGCATAACCTGTCTCTCTTAGTAGATAAATAGAATGTGCCATCACCTGCCATGCTGGTACCTTCCTGAAATAATTGATCTTGGATTGGAAGGAGACTTGCTTTTCTTGTCTGAGGGGTTTAAAAGCACAGGCCACATACTTCAGTGATGTTTCTAACAGTCTGATGCTATTTCTCACTTATCCTCTCTCTTTGGAAATAACTACTGGATAAATAGCCAGGATGTATCTATGCCAAAGGTAGATCATTGGATCTTTGAGGTGATTTCGTTTTGTAAGGCAGTCCAGGTGTTGCTGGGACAAGCCAGAAGCCTATTTCGACAGTTTGGGAACAGGACTAAATCCACAATCTGATAAGTTGTCATCTATTGTTAAGCTGTGTATGGATCAGGTAGTCTCATTTTTTCTCAAATTCCAATTCATAGTATTCTGGGTATGTTATGGCTATAATATTCTTATAGGTGATGACACTCATCTCAGTGTTTGTTTCTGAGGTGATACAGTAATGCTGTAGTGTTAAAATCCGGGCATTGTGAACAAAGACCCGCAATTAATCTCTGCATTCTTGTGGGTATGGAAAATGCATATGCAACACCCTGATCTCACCTAACTTTTTGTACAAGTCTCTTTTTTTCTCCTGTAATAAAGTAACAAGTGGCTCTTCAGCTAAAATGCGTTCACCAGTATACATTCCTTTTTTTCCAGGTATTCGGGCTACAGGGGTGATTAGGTGGATGTATCTGAATTATTTTTTCAAGTGGATTATTCAATTCAGATTAAGATATAGATCTGTATATTCAGAATTGAAGTGATCACAGTGTGCTTGAGAAGTAAATAAAGAAAACTAAGACTGCTTTAGCTTGGAATATGAACTTCTACTGAACTGCTAAAAGAGATTTAAATAAATTACCTGAATTAATTTCTTCAGTTACTTGAGATTCTCTTCATTTCATGTATCTGTATAGAAAAGCAGTTGGTCCTCATTGACTGTCTTCTTAATTAGCTATGTTTCAAAAACCTTTCTTATCCAAGTTTTGTTGGGGTAGGCAGGAGAAATTCTGAGTTTGCTTCTAATACTAAATGTAAAAGTAAGGTCCACATGCTAGCACATTCTACTTTTAGCTATTTTATTCTTTAATTTAAGTAGAATTTCTAGAAGTGGGGGATGTATTGCCAAGCCTAGGTATTTTATTATTTTTAAATAATTTATCTGCCATTACTAAAATTGGACATGATATACATTATGTGTTGTCCTTGCAGTAGTAATCACTAAGTACCAATGCGAGCACGTGTGTCATAGCACTTGCCTAATTCTTGATTAGTGAGGTCCTAACTCCCCACTTCACCTTTCTGCACAGCAAAATGAGCATGTCTTTGTCAACTGACAATAGAATTGAAGATCTGGTGGTACAAACTTGAGTAGCTAGTAAAAATTTAATCTTTAGGACCCTCTATATGGATTTTCTAGTTTGAAACCAAGCATTCCTTCACCATTATTTTTTATCTTTACTCAGTATATTACATCCACCAGCCCAACAAGTTTATTTTGTGTTTTTTTCCCTGTGTATATATAGTACAAAAGGGTGTTTGAGTTTCATGACTGTTGCCAAATATGAGTATTTTTGACTTCTTGATCACCATATCCTTTATTAACACAGGTGAGAAGGTAGCACAGGTATGAAACTAACTTTATCACAAATATTCTTTGTGGGTTTTTTCTAAAGTTTTCAAAATACAACTTTCAGTTTGTTAGCTAAGGTAGTTTCAATAGCTCTCTCTTCCAAGCTCTTAGTGTCTTCTTAGATACAGCTGTGTTTTTTTTCAGTCTCACAAGTGATGAGTTTCTCAAAAGGTAATGAGTACCAGGTACCACTCTGCACAGAGTGAAGCCAAGATATTCACCCCAAACCTTGTGTTTCTCTTGTATCTTCAGATAGCAGAGTTTCTCTTGTACCTGCAGTGTTAGATTGTGCTCCCTGTATCTTCTCCTGTATGTCACAATTAATGCATCTGCTTTGTAATCGGTGTGCTTATGTACGTCAATACACTGTATCTGTTTCACTTGTTGTGTACATTGTGCTAGGGCTGAAATGGTTGTTCCAGTGTGTGGTATGAAGTTCTGTAGCTACCAGGCAAGCTCCTCAGGGGCAGGAGGAGCAGTTATCTTCCCAGCTGGCTGAAGAGTTGTGATTGTAGTTCTGTTCCAGGCTGCTGGCTGACCTTGATAACATCCAGTCCTGTGAACAGAAAAATGTTGACCTTCACCAACATTTTGCTTTCATCTTCTTCAACTGTTCGGAGGAGAAGCTGGGTCTTAAAGCTTTGAAGGGCATATGCATCTTGTCACTGTCCAATTTGCTTGTAGCTTACACCAGCTCTGGAACAAGAATACCCATCGCTCTACAAACACTCCCTTATAGCTAAAATATTTATAACTGATAGTCTATTTTTTATATGCTTTTTGATGCAATTTATTCTGCTTTTATTTTCCTCCTGTCTTGTCAAAGTATTCTTTCTGAGAATGGGTGTCTTCAAGGCTGAGTTCTTCTACCAGGAACAAAGAATTTGAGATTAATTTAGACAGTAATTCATTTTGAGAGGATTGCTCTTTAATGTCCAAAGTCTACTGCCACCGTTATCCAAAGTGAATTCAATTTACAATCCTAGTTGTCTTTCTACTAATGCAAATACATGAATGCAGGCAAGGAGGAAGGTCACTGCAGCAGTTATTCATACTTTGGAGAAAGGTATCTGTTTGTGTAGGTTTCTTGGCAGTGGATTTCTTACTTCTCTGCTTTATATCTAAACCAGCTAAATAGAGGCTGGATGTCATCACTCATGTTGTGACTGCTGGAAGGGCTTGCATGATACTTATCACAAACACTGTATACAGCCATCTTCTGTTAACCCCGTTCTTAGTGCACAGGTGCCCATAATCACAAAACCACAACCGAGCCTATTTGGGAATTTTAGCAAATGATATCAAATACTAAAGTGATAAAGAAATTACCCGTGTGCGCCCTTTGGCAGTCCTCTACTAGCCAGTGTGAGTCACTTCCCTGCTTGTCGTGCATTTTCCTGTTTACTGTGTGACTAGAGGGAGGATTTCAGAGCTGTCAAGACAGCTTTATTCATTAGCATTAATGTTCTAAAAATAGATACCTTGTCCTCATAACTGTGTATGTATGAAACCGTAGTAGATTCTATTAATGCTGCGTCTCAGAATTGACTTGAAAAATTGGGATAATTTATGGTCCCTGAGAGGTGAGGGAGAGAAATGTCTGACTGAAGGTTAAAAATCCAGCAATCCATTTCATTGTGTTGGACAAGCTGAAGTTAACTTTCTCCTGCCAAAACTGGTAGCAGGTGCTGCTTGTTTTTTTCAGGAAGAAGCTGGGTATTTTATTTGTTAAACTGGTAATCTGTGTTTTCTGTTCTTTCAGAAGGACTGCAATTTCTAATAAAATAGCTTCAGTGGAGAATACTAATTTAATACCAAATATTGATTTTTGCAAACGAAAAGAGAAAGTGTTTTTATTTCTGTCACTGTAGTAATTTCCAGTTAAGAATTCTAAAACAGAGCTAATGATCTCTGGGTCTGTAATGATAAGTAGAATGAAACACTTGAAGAATCAGGTGACAGTGGATGTGTTTGAGGAGAAAAAGGAAAGAGAGTCTATCTGCAAAGAGCAGCATCTGGAGAATCACAGCAAAAGTTCTGTAACACCTTGACAGAGGGTAGTTTTAACTGTTTTGGCAAACAATAGGTGGTGAAGGAAAAAAGAACTCCTGCAGGGCTGGAAGGAGTATAAATTGAATTGGAACACTGTCAGGGACATCACTGTTTAAACAGGCTTTGCTATGTTAGACAAGTGGCCATCTGCCCCCCGTAACATCTTTGCAGACTCACACTTCACCTATCGTCCCAAAAGAGCCACTCCCTGAACAATTAGTTGTCATCTATTTGGTTGAATTTAATTAAGATTGTTGATAGATTTCCAGGCACCTCCTAAGAAGTTGCATTAATCAGAAACATTCAGGAAGGTACCCTCCTTCGTTCTGCCCAGAGACCTCTACTGACAAGTCAAAATTAATCAGAGACAAAATCCTTTTAGTGATAGGACCAGCTGAGCCAAAGTCTGTGTCAAGTTTTAACAGAGTGCACTTCTCTTATGATTCAGTGTCTCTAAGCTGGCAGTGAGAGATACGTGGCCTTGCAGATGGATTAGGAAGAGTGGAGAGGAGTGGAACTGCAGGGTTTGTTCTGGAGCCCTGATGGGTCTGGCATCTTAATTTGTATTCTATGTGCTCTTCCTGCAGAAAAGACTCATCTAATGCTGAAGCAGCTCAGCTAAAGATGATTTGGGGGATCTTGGAATGGATCAAAACAGACCACGATGTTTAGAAACATCTCTGAACAAGTAAGGAGACATCAGGTAATTTGTCGTAGAATGGACTGAAATTGAATAGGTCTGAAAATTAGGGATTAGGGATGGCAGCTCAGATCTACTTAGGTAAACAGAATAATTCAGGGAGGCTGATACGGTTAAGATAGCTCAGGATAAGGTAGGCTAGCACTGTAATGTTAGGACAGGGACCTAAGAAATTGCCTCTGACTTTGTGCTCATGAATGCACTAAGTGCTTCTACCATCCAAGCACAGTGTCCAGCAGAGGGGAGTAAGTCTGAACTGATTCTAATGTTCACAAAATGGTTAACTGTACTGCTAGTTAAAGTGGGAATGTCTTTTAAGGCATCTCCAATTAAACTGATATTCCCTAGGATAGCTAACATTGAGGTTAAGGAGATCAGGGTCAGACAGCTGAGAATAAATAGCCAGAGGCAAGAGCATTGTGAGGTTGTATGGGAGGAATTAGGGCACTCAGGATAAAGTTGGGTGAGTATGTTAGAATTTACTTGAGAAAAGCTGGATCCAAGCAGTTCAGAAAGACATTGTCGATTCTATTCATTTCTTCCAGCACATCTGATTTGTAATTGTCTTTTGGAAAGTACCTGGAAGTTTTAGATGGTCTCAAGAAAGAGAAAGATCCATGGTATAATTTCTTATCTCTTAAGAAGATATTTAATACAGGAATCTCATTTTAAGGATGAATCTTACTGCAGCATTTTTAGCATTGAACATAATTACAGCGTAGCATTTATTGCAGCATTGTAACTGGCTGTTGTTCCATTTGTGATAGGTTTCTTTTCCAGTTCTAGTGGTGATAGTTCATCTCTGTGGCTGATTTTGGTTTTGACACTGAACACAGCTGAAATGCAGGGTAGGATTTAACTTTTAATGGTATTCCTTTAAAAAAGAAGTTAGAAGCGCAGTTTGGATTTCATGTGCTCTTTATCGATGTGTGTTCAGAATTCATAGTGAGACGTCTGTGGGGTTCGTTGAGGGAACTGGGCTTCTGACTTCCCCTGAAAAATCAGAACTTCTGCCCCATCCTTTTGTACAAAACACAGGCTACAGGCAGACTCAGCTATTGAGTAACAAACCTATTCTGTAGTTGCACATTCTCCATTAAAACAAAAGCTTGTTCCTTGCTTCTGATATGTTGAGTAGTGTGTGTAGACGCCATCACGTACATTATTCTGTCTGCTTGGGAATTTCATAGGCTGATGCTCCAATCTGGGGCTGAATGCCAAGAGAAAAAAAATAGTTTATAATGCAGAGAGCAATAGCTGGGGCAGGAAAGTATTAAAATTCTCCTTGTGTAGCTTGCCTTTCTCTTCTGCAGCCCCCCCTCCATTTTTCTTGGAATTGTTTAAGAGAGATTAGCTTTTGAAGGTGAAGGTACCTGAAGGTGCTGCCACCATTAGCTAATGTAATTTGTAAAAAGCAAGTGTGATTTACAATGACTGCAGTTCAGTTTCTCAGCTGGCTTAGTAATTGCAGCAGTCAAATGCGGCAGAGAAAAATGGCAATCGGAGATGTAGGCAGGAGAGGCAAAAACACGAGCAGCTGAACCTCGCAGGGGCTGCTGTTCTAAAGTGTCACCTGTGCGTGTTGAACTGCAGTGTTGGGCTGTGAGCCCGCAGGCACATTCGGAGGCATCTGCCTGTAGTTCTCTGCCACACGAGCTAGGGAGATGGCTGTTTTCTGTCCCACCAAAAAGCATGGAAGCAGAGAAACACCCCTTAGCGAATTGCTTCAGAACTGACAGTCAGACTGCATCAAAGGAGATGGGGTTCTATTTTTCCTAAAAGAGGACCATAAGAAATCTTTTATTTACTTGAATGTGTTTTCTCCTATTTTTAAATTGGTCTGTAAGAAAATATTGGCTTAAAAATAACACAATTATGGTCAGATAAGCCAGAATATATTCAATATATATATACATATACGTGTATATATATATATATATATATATATATGTATGTATGTATGTATATATATACAGCTGCAGCAAAATCTGTTAATGGCGCAGAGAACTTTCTGGCGTTGGTGTGGTTCCGTTTAAACCAAGATAACGAGAAGCCCAGTGTCTCCATCTCCCTGAGTAGGTCAAAGACTGCTCGAGTTTTTGTGTGAAATATTAAGTTTCACAGACTGAGAAGCAGAATGGTGCTGCGAGGCGGAGGTTGCAGCTCAGCCGACCAGCTGTAGGGCGGCGCGCTCCCGCTGGGCTCTGCCGTGCTCGCGGGCGGGTCACGTGAGCGGCGCCCAGGCCGGCTCGCCCTACGGCCTGTCGCAAAGAGCATGGCGGCGCCCGTTTACCCGGCCTGGGTGAGCCGATGGATCTCCGGGCAGTGGCGGCAGAGGAAGCGGCCGCCGGCCATCCGCCCCACCCGGCCGCTGGTGCTGGCCAACAAGGTGGCGAACCGCCGAGAGCTGGCGGGAGGTGAGTTGCCGGCACCGGGCCGTCGGTCGGGATGGCAGCGTCCCGAGGCTCCGTGAGGTTGAGCCCTGGCGGTGGACTTTCCCGCCTCGCCCCTCAGAGCTGCCGCGTCGCCCCGTGGGGTCTGGCGCTGCGGAGTGGCCGTGGCGGTGACGGCAAGGACAAGTGCGTGCTCGGAAGAACCTTGTGTTCTGAACGGAGCTCCTGGGGACCTCCTGAATTTTGCTATACAACAAGGAGGTGTTTGCTGAGTACACGGAAAATGTGGAGGGAAAAAACAAAAACAAACACACAGCGAAAGAAAACGTCTGCAGTAATTGGTTAGCAGCACCTTTGCACGTGTGATGAGACCAGAGGCATCCAGCAGGCAAGGGGACCTAATTTGTGCTGTGTAATTAGTGTGTGAGTTCTTCTAAAAAGCGCATTTTCCCGTACTTCAGCCCTAAATCTATATTTTATGATAATCTTTGTGTAAATTCTTAAGGTAAATGCTATATCAAAATGTAACAACCAGATGGCTCTGATGGGGTAAAGCCTTCTGGTAGGAGTTTTCTTCTCTAAACCAGGCAGTGACGATGTCCTCCTCTCTGTTGTTCCTTCTCACGTGCCTCTGTACCATCTTAAAATTCTGTTGGGAACTCTGTGTGCTGTGGAGGCTGTTGGCATGAAATCTCAGATACTTCAGCTTTTATAGTCGTGTCTTTCCCTTCTAGAGGCAACCTGTCTTACAGAGATGTCAGTAATGATGGCCTGCTGGAAACAGAATGACTTCAATGATAAAGCTTGTGCTGAGGAGATCCAGACGTTCTATGACTGCGTGGCAAAGGCAGAAGTAATGATAACCTCTTTTGTGTTCTTAAAGTCCAATAGTAGGGAAGGCGGAGAAACCTTCAGTCATTTTCTTTGTGCCAACATAACAGTGTTCTGAGAACAATTTGATTTGTGCGTTGAGAAATTCAGGGTGATGTACATCAGGTACACAGTCCCTTCTGTTTGTATTTAGGATTTCAGTAAAGAAATGTGGGAAGGGACCAGGTGTCTTGTATGTTATAATTAGACCTGAACCAGTAATCACATGTAGTGCTTTTGGTGTTCACATTCTAAAAGTAGAGCTTTGTTGCTGTTAGTCAGTTCTAACCTAGGCCATTTCTCTTAATTTGCTCCAGTTTTTAATCTCTAAGTTTCAGCAGCGGTAGACATGCTCTTCTCCATACGTCATGAAAGTTCTGAATGAAGGAGAGTACAATTTAGAGCTGTGACATAAAGCTGTGATTTATTTACTGAAGCCATATTGAGTTTTCACCTCATGCAATAAGTTTGAAATGAAGTCAGTTTCAAAAACTGTCTAAAGGTAGGTACATGTACTGAACTTGTCCTTGAACTGTTGGCAGATTTTCAGTCTTTTTAGTAATAGTATCGTCATTTAATAAAGTATCTTTTTACTGTTGCGTTTGACAGCATAAATGAGAAACTGTCCATGCTTTATTTGGTAGATTACAATGAAAGCAATTTAAAAAAAGAACATAAAAACGAAACAAATTTGTATTATATTTGTTGAAAGGCTTATAATATTGCTAAGTGAAAATGTGGACAGATCATCCTCACATGTCTGTCTCATTGATTTCACCATTTGAAGAAGCCTAGCGAAGTTCTTAGAAGCCTTGCGACTATTTAGCCAACTGCTATTATGAATGTTGCTTGAAGAAACAGCATTCTTTTCAGATCAGCATTTCAGTAGAATTATTATTAGTCTTTACAGAGCCAATTCAACAAAAAAACAGGTAATATTCTTAGTTTTCTTTTTCTGTTTCAGAAGGAGCGCAAGGAAAAAAAGGACGAGTACGCTCTGTCACTCAAGGGAAACATGCCTTCAAGCAAAGTGAACAGCCTGCTGAGGAGGTTTCCTAATATTACACGTTATGTGTAATGTGCTTTGCTACAGGGACTGTGGACAAGCAGTTAAAGTTGGCGTTTTTGGAAAATAAATGAAAAAAGGGTTTTATGAATGTTTAATGTCTAATGATGTCTGTCTGTAAACACTGCTGGGTGGATTACGACTTCATATTTTATTTCCAGAGTGGAAAAAAAAAAATCCATCTTGATTGTTGGCTGAGTTTGTTCATGAGGTTCTTGGATCTTGTGCTCTTAGGATCTTTGCAGTGAATTGTCCAACCAGCCACTGTGTGGAGTAATGTACTTACCGTGAAATAAAATCTTCTAGGAATGTGTGTAAACCTGTTTTCTAAGCTAAGGGTGACTTTTCTTTGGTTTATAATCTTTCTGCTTAACTTATGAGCTGCTGTCAATAAGTGTTCAGACCCAGACACTGAGCCAACTTAAAATTGATAATAATTTAATGACTCGTACCCCTGCATGTATGTATACACAACTTGGTTCCTCTTGACATTTTTAAAATTCTTGTTCATGTGCAAGAAGGCTGTGGAATGAGGAAGAAGTTTCCAGCAAAATACTTTGATAATGCACAGTGCATTGGGAAGGGTTTTAAACCCCCTGATTTGCAGGTGAGAAGAGTGTGGTGTCATGGCAGATAATTAGGTTGCCTGCACAAAGATAAAATGATGCAAGACTGTTGTTTGGCATGGGTGAATCAGATTCTACAGCAGAATGTTCCATTGTTTCAGTTAAACAAACAAAAAAAAAAAGGTGGGAAGAAAGTTCAAGAAAGTAGTGGTACTGAAACTGTGTGATGAACAGTTAGTTTTGATTTGTTAACTTTCAGTAGAGTACCACAGAACTGCAGGTAGGTTCCAGTTTTAGGACCAGTACCTAACTGGTTAAAATATATAGCAAGAAAAGTGCAGTTCTGCAGAGAACTAATAATATATATGTCACTAAGTCTTTGGAGCATAAAGACAAAGCAAAGATCAAGATAAAAGTGGTACTTGCAGACTGTGACTGTGTAAGATTGTATAGTTTATTTAAAGGCTCATTGATGAGTTATCCCACAAGGTAACTTATTCTATTGTTGCTGTTGTGGCATGAAGGAGTCCTTCAGAGATGGGAGCTGGGATGAGTAAGAATATTCTGTTTGCACCTGAGTTTGGGAACACGCTTCTGTATGTAACATTTTGCATTTCCAAATCAAAAGATGCCCTCTGTGGGCACCTTTGCTTATTCTTTATTTCTGAAAGAGGTGAGCTAAGCTGGGAGTAAGGAATTTCTTTTAGAAGTATTTCTTTTAGAAGTACTCAAGCTGCACTTTTGGTTGGGAATCCCATGCTGTAACCAAAAAGGCCTCCCAGTACTGATTGTCTTTGGCAATTTGAGTTGGTGCAGTTTCCTCATCTCACGTTAAGCTTATGTCGTGTTCCATGATGTAATTTATACTGGGGGGTCATTCCATTACTAGTTCGTATATAGATGGCAATGTCCTTTGTGAGTTCAGGGCTTTTGCCACTCCACAGTACTGTTGTTGGGGCAGAAAAGAAGGCTGGGTTCTGTTTCTGCTGGTGTTGAGCTCACGGTATAAGAACATTGCTGCAGAGATCTATGTGTGACTGCATGATGGGGAAAGAATTACACAAAGCGGACTAGATGTTCTACTCTCCTAAGCAGGATTTATAGGATTTAAGCAAATCTGCTGGAATTCCTTGATCTTGTTCATGCACCTTATAGCTTGAGTGTTTTACCAGCACTGTGTGTGATTGCTGTTAACTACCTTTCTTCTTAGGCTTTCGCTGAAGACCTTTTATGGAGGAAGCACTGATTTTTCTGTATTTTCCTGAACTTCAGACTTCAATGTATCTACCTAAGGGTAGGAAATTCTCAGACATTATTAACAAATACTTAGATATAAAGAGATACCTTACATTTCATCCATGTGGTTAGTCATTTTGACTACCATTACAAGAGGTTAAAAAAGATGGTTTAATACCACTGTCTGCTTCTTTTTAGCTTGTGTAGCTTCTAGGCTCCCAGAGGGAGCTTTATTGACTTTCTTTGTTTATTTAGATTTCCAAAACAGCTGTGATTGTTCCAATTTTTTTTTAGCACCCCTTTGCTCCCTAATACCCCTCTTGGAAATGAGCCATCTGTTAGTTTCTCTGGTAGATAACTTTCAACATCTGCATACTTGATGCCCCTAGAGGGACAGAGTAAGAGTTGTTCTTTTACTATTTGTAAACATTTTTCCAATCTGCAATTAAGTTAGTTAACAATCTGAAATAGATTTACTGTGCTTTTGTTATTAGTAGCCTGCAAACAAAGCTGATCAAGATTAGCAATCTCTATAGGCTACCAACAAGCATTCAGTAGGTGCATGAATAAAAGGCTGGCCTGTAGCATCTGCATGTAGGTGACTTTCTTGATAAAAACACAGAATCACAGAATATTTCCTGAGTTGGACAGGACCCATAAGGATCATGGAGTCCAACTCCTGGCTCCAAAAAGAACCGCCCTAAATACAGATCATAATGGTCACATGAGAAAGCAAAGGACCACCCCTTCTGAAGGACTTATAGTTAAGAGATTAGAAGCTGACAGCTAATACATTGTCCTGCATTCTCTGCTGAGGAAACAGAGCTAAGAGAATAGCAAAAGCACTAAGGTCTAGTTCTCGGCTCCAAGTCCGTCTTGGCACTGACGTGGATCTTTCTTGTTCTGCATGTGATGAGCAGAATTACTTCCTTACTTCTTAGCCTAGAGAGATGGAGATACATCTTTTAATGGGAAGGCATGGCTACTGGCAACTATTTTGTTTGTTTATTTTGTTTAAAGGAAAAGTAGTCCTGCCAGTTCAGGTGTAGTAAGTTTCATTCCTGTGAAGCAAGCTTATTTTAGAAGGCCATACTTTTGGTTTGTAAGTGTCTATACAGAATAATCTGGAAAAAAAATAGGACAGAGAGAGACTCTGTTGGGAATTGTAGACTCGCAGCTCGGCAGAGAAGGACCTGGGGGTCCTGATGGATGAGAGACTTAACATGAGCCAGCAGTGCGCTCTGGCAGCTCGAAAGGCAAATGGGATCCTGGGCTCCATCAGGAGAGGGGTGGTCAGCAGGGACAGGGAGGTGATTGTCCCTCTCTACTCGGCTCTTGTGAGGCCCCATCTGGAGTACTGTGTCCAGGTGTGGAGCCCTCAGTACAAGAAAGACATTGAGATTTTGGAAAGGGTCCAGAGGAGGGCGACTAAGATGATCGGGGGCTGGAGCACCTCCCCTATGAGGACAGGTTGAGGGAGTTGGGCTTGTTCAGCCTGGAGAAGAGAAGGCTGCGGGGTGACCTCATTGCAGCCTATCAATACCTGAAGGGAACCTACACCCACGAGGGGAGTAAACTCTTCCAAAGGGCTGACAACAGCAGGACTAGGGGAAATGGATCCAAGTTGAGGGAGGGAAGATTTAGGTTGGATGTTAGGGGGAAGTTCTTTACAAGGAGAGTGGTTAGGCCCTGGAACGGGCTGCCCAGGGAGGTTGTGGATGGATGTGTTCAAGGCCAGGTTGGACGGGGTCCTGGGCAACCTGATCTGAATGTGTGTGTTTGGTGGCCCTGCTAGGCAGGGGGGTTGGAACTACATGATCCTTGAGGTCCCTTCCAACCCGGGTGATTCTGTGATTCTGTGATTCTGTGACTGTTATTATTGTACAACTACATTTATATCAGGGTGAGGAGGTAATATGTGTTAAATAGTGGACCTGGATAATTACAGTTGTTTCATAAGAATAAGCACTCGCAGGGAAGTTCTAAATATGTCATGTATCTAGAGATAACTTAAAACATGTTTCTAATGCTGTAGTTATATTGGAGTAATTTCCTTCTTAGTCAATCTGAAACACACAGACAAGGTTAATTTAGCTTGTGATATCTTGGAAGCTGTTTAAGCCGGAACAGTCCAAGAGGGGCTGTTGCCAGAATAACTACCAGTAGAACTATGATAAGTAGCAAAAATCCTTTGGTGTAGGCAACTCTTGATCTTTGAATTGCAGCAGAATATGAGCAAATGGGTAAGGAAGAAGAGAGAAATATAGTAAGAATGTCTCTGTCTCAGGGAAATGTCCTTCCATGTGCCCAAAAACCAGGGGGAGGTCTTAGCAAGTAGGAAGTAATTGCAGACTTGCCACAGAGGAGACTGTTGCAAAGACAACAAAGACTGTTGCAAATATATATTGGCTTCCATCAGGAAGCTGTATCCCACACTTGAGCTGCTGTTGCTTTTGATGCTCTGTGTTTTCCTTTTCAGTAAATCATTTTAAAATACCTAGGAAAGCCTTGACTTAAGAGAGGGAAGCTACTGTGAGAGAAATCCAGTACAGACTTTTGCTAGAGGCTATAAACCCTACCAGTACATGTCAGATAGAGGTTGAATTGAGCTGTTCTTTTCTAGTCCTAAAGAGTTGAGTAGGTGAGCATCTTAGGAGTTAAGAAGGAGCATCAACAACGCCTGTAGTCCTCAGTCAGGGGTAGAGTCCTCTGAATGCTAGTGGTTTTTCTGTTATCGTTTCCAGTACATTCTTTCCTTATGTTTTCACTGGAGTAAGTGATTAGAAAATTCCAACACATTTCCATCTTTGCTTTTTGCTTTGCTCCTTTTTGCCTGTGCCACCTGAGAGTTAGAGAATGCTATAGCTTCTAAGCTATTTCCATGTCCACCTGGCCTGATCATCTGCCTCCTGTGCTACAGGGATATAGGAGATTTGCTTCTAATTAACTGAGTGTAATTCTTGGCCAAATCCACCACGTGCAGAATGCAGTGTGGTACGAATCCACTCAAACCGCTCCCTCCTACCACTTAGTGACTCCTGTAAAGGATCCAGATGTAGTGGAATTTCATTGCATTTGATGAGTGACTAAAGATGAGGCAACACAAAGCTGTCATGTGAAGTGACTAATGGGCAATAAGTGAGAAAGGAAAAAAAGGCTTTTTGTCAAGCCATTGGATTTGTATCAGCCTGTTTCTTGTTTTTATGCTGAAAGTCTCTTTGAAAATGCTTCTCAGCAAGCTTGGCCAGGAATGAGCTCATTTCTTAAGGTGACTAGTTCATGCTGCAGGATGCTAAGGGTTAATCCCTCCATAATCAGAATATAAATGTAGTAAATGCTCATTAGACTGAGCTGCAGAGCAGTGTAGGAAATGTGAGAAATTTCCAAAATTAAACAATTTGAAATTGACCAAGTCTCCTCCTTAGGTTTGATTAATGTTTAAATTGTTTGCTGCATTTTTTGTAAAGGAGCAGTAAATTCAAAATGAACTAGCTTAAAAACAAACAAAACAAAAAACAGAAACAGCCCACCAAAATGCTTAAGGATTAATTGATAACAATACAATAATTTTTCAACTCTGAAAATTGCCCCAGCCAGTCAAATGAAAATGTTACAGCCCCAAGGTCAAAGAAACACTTGACGGGTAAAGAGGCAATACCCCGGGTAGCAAGATGCAGGGCTGAGAAGTGGGAACGCTCCCCTGAGAGCTGATTTTTCCTTGGAAATCTGGAAGCTCCTTAACATAGTTTTCTAGGCCCCATTTACCTGAGTTCAAATCTAAGGAGAGTGTGACCTCAGGAAGCTGCAAGCAGCTAATCAAGGAGGCAGCGGTGGGAGGATAAAGTCCAGATTCCTTCCAACAAGTATAATCTCTGGCGAGCGTGCGTGCACAAGCCGTTTCCTTTTTCAGTTTTGCTGCTGGAGCTGTTGCAGAAGGAAGCCCCAGATCCTTTTTACTGCTACATCTTTTGTGCTAAAGGAGAGAGAAGGAAGAGTCAGCTGTGGAAAGAAGGAATTTCAGGAGAGGAGAGAGCGGCTGGCCGGGCTGCCGGGCGGACGGTGGTGGGGAGGCGGATGCTGGCGGTCAGGAGAGATGCGTACCTAGAGCCAAGAGAGAGGCTGGGACAGCCAGCAAAAGGGAGGGGACAGCGGAGGTGCGGGAGCAGGCTGAGGGCTGTGCCCTGCCCGTCTGCGCTTGCCTCCTGCTGGTTTTAAAGGTGATAGATTCTGGGGACATGATCTCCCTTCTATCCCCTTCTTTTTCCCTTTCTGAAGAGAAGAATCAAGGAGAGGAGGTGGGGAGGGGATGAGGAAAGTGAGATTATAAGATGCTGTTGGGAACTTTGATCCCTTTCACCCCTTTCCCCACGCAGAAATGAAAGAGGCATCCCTCTCCCTCCAAGTGGCAAGCACCCAGCTCTCTGGGAAATTGAGCTGGAGAGTGAGAAGAGGAGGCAGCAGCTGAGCCCAGCGGCAGAATGAGACTGTGAAGCTTGAAGCTGCTGCCCACTTCATACAGGAAGGATGAAGATCCCCAGAGTACTTAGGCTGTTGGTAGAGCTCTCGAGTCTGTTACCATGTCTCAGATGCAGGGAGGTAAGAAAACTAATATTCTTCTATCTGTAAAAAGTCACCTAGATTTTTATATATATATTAATATCCTAATTGTGAGTGGATTGTGTTCTTACTGAATATGTTTTCTGGAGTATCTAGGCAGCTGTGGTCTCTGGGAAGGCTTGGGGGCTTGGGGAGGGATTTATTTCCTTGTGCATATGAAATTCATAAATGGAAACAAAGCAGGATGCACAAGGGCTTGCAGATGCTTTGGCTCAGGTTCCCCACGTTACTCAAGCACTGCGGTGACCCTGGCATGAGAGATTCTTTGTTTCTTTTCTTCACCAATGGACTGGTGATCCCTATTGCTGTTGTGGGCAGATACCATTTATAGCCATAGAGCTGGGGCAGCGACTGCAGCATGGGCAGTTGCACTAAAATTTTGTGTTGTTGATGGTGGCTGCTGGGGGGTTTTGGAAACTGCTACAGGAACTGGCAGCAAGTAGCTTTTCGTTAGAAGGGAAGCATATTACTTGGACTGGAGTACTGTCATTTATGCTGTGTCTCCAGGAAGAGTATTCTCAGTGTCTCATATGGCCAGTTATTATAGCAACCCATCCCTCTTTCTCATGTTAGCTCACAAGTGTGTATAAGTGCACACTGGAACGCAGAAGTTAGGGGATTTGGGTTGTGAGTCACCTGTCCTGTGTATTATCTTGGGCAGTCACAAAAGTGTCACTAAGCTCACTTTCCTCTCTTTGCAAAGTGCTTTGAGATCCTCACGTGCGTCCTTCAGCATTGTTGGTTTACAGAGCAGCTGGATACATGCAGACAGATGGATTTTTGGCTGAAGAGGGTTTGTCAGTTAATTGCTGTTTTATCTATGCTTCCTCTTGTACATTTGCACCTGAGCTCTGACTTGCTCTTTCTGAACTGTGTCAGGAATTCATCTTCAGTATGCAGTGTCATATTCTGACTTCCAGAGGATGATGGTGAAGCGTGGCCATAGCTCTGAACACCTGCTGACCATTATATATAATTTTAATCTGTAAATTAAATCAGCCATGAATAGGTGTCGTTCTTGTCTGGTATCTATGGGGACTATCCCTGCTTATTCCAGAAGTGGGTTCAGTTTAATTCTGAAAGTCTTTCAGGGAGAGCTGAGGCTGAGAGAAGCAAAATTTAGTGCATTTTGAAGAAAAACAGAACCATTTCTGTAGCTAATTCTCTTCATTTGCGCACCTCTGCTCTGTGAATTAAAAGTCTTTGTTCATATATATCTGGCTGTATTTAGAAATGAAACAAACTACGTGAAGCTAGCAAAAGCATGTAGTTTCTTCTTTCTACTCTGGATCTGTGAAGGTCTTGCACCTGCCTGCATACCATGCAGTGTGTTGAAGTGGAGATCCCTATCTCTCAACCAGCAGTCAAGTTATAACCACCAAAAACACTGCCTACAAGAGGAAATGTAATTTTGGGGATGGACAAGATGCTAGAATGAGGGCTTTATTTCATATTCTTTGTTCTTAGCTACTTAATATGATTTGGATAATAGTCTCATATGAAATCTTGTACTGTCATACATTTAAAAACAAAATCCTCAAAAAGCCATGCTAGATTTTCTTCTTCAGTTGTTTTCCACTTGGTACATGGATGTTTAATTCAATCTTCACATGGAACACTAGGGGCATCATCCCATCTGATAGCTGTGTTTGCTCCTGTGGTCATGGATTGCTTATTCTTTGCATGGAGGGGGAGTGAATAGTTATTCATTATTTTTCCTTACTAATAACAGTGATTTTTTTTTCCCGACTTTTCTTTCCATAGAGATCTCACTCTGGAGTCAGATTTTATTCGCTGAGAGCATTAGGGCTGAAACCTTGAAAAGAACAAGCAGAGCCCTGTTATGTGCTTAGATCAAGGGTAAATTTCTGCAGGCCAGCAATTATACATTTTATTGTCAGTGGGCAGAGCTGTGATTGGGTTTGAAGAGCAATGGAGAGAGCAGGGAAGAGGCTGGTTACCAGGGTGTGTTTGCCTAAAGCAGCAAAAGGCCGAGCTGCTTTCGGGACATGCCCGTGTTTATTTCATTGGATAATATCTCTGCTTTTGCTCTGTTTCTTTTCCCAGGCTCTCCTGGGATCCCAGCCCAGCCAAAACCATTTGCAGAGTGCAGGTAAGAACAAGAAGTTATTAATTCAGTCATCAGGCAGATTCTTTCCTGCAGTGGTGATCTGAGACCACAGGTACGATGAACCACTGCTCTCTGGCTTTCTTCCCTTCTTTCCATCATTTCTTTTATCCTGTATGCCTCAATGTTTATCTCCTTCAGCAACATGGCCAAACTACTTTCTCTTCATCATGTCTAATACTCTTGTACTTCTCTGTTCCTCCCCCATTCTTTTTCTTTCATCTCTGTTTCTGCCCTAGTCTTCTTTTGCATGCTCATTCCACCTAGTAAGTTCTGAATTCTTGTGTTCTCCCCTCTTAAGCTCGCAGGTAATCCAAGGAGCACAGTGTGTTTTCCAGGCATCTAACTGAGCTAACTGTAATTGCTTATCACTTTTGTACCTTGTAGCTAATATTCAGCTGTCATTTGTCTCTGCTGTTTATCATATGTGTCTTTATAGCAGAAGAATTTTTCTGATTTTTTTTTGTGAATGGAGCTATAACTGTTATCCATTTTTTTTTTTAGTTTATCCATTTTATACATTCTTAAAAAACACACCCTCACACAGAATCTTGTTCTAGCTTCCCTATTTCTTATTGCAGAGTCATGACTGGAGAAGTTGTTGTTTTGTTTTTTTTTTTCTCTATTAAGACAATATTGAATTAAATGTTGGGATTTCTTTACATGAGATTTTTGTATAGACACTGGCCTGGAACACTGGCATCTGTGCTCTACCTTGAAACCGGTTGCCTTTCCTTTCCTAAGGAAAGAAAAGTTCAGACAGGTGAGGTGATACACTAATGTGTATAAAGGCATACATACAGTGAATGACAATGCCATTTTCCATCTTTCTGATTTACAGAATTAAATTACACCCAATTTTCCACTCTTCTCTGTCTCAATCAATTAAGACAGGGAATTAATCTTTTGAAGATCTTAGAATCAAATTTAAGAGCATCATATTCAGGTACCAAAGGAGGTACAAAAGGGGAAAAGTCTGTGCCAGGCTCAAAAGCAAGTCAGAATAAGGGCATATGTCTATTGAAATTACTGGCAATGAGAACCAGTTCAAACTGTTTGTGTTTGAGTCCAATTAACACATTTTAAAGATCCAAGCAATTCATTATCTTCAGAACATTTTTTTTTCCTAAGTTGCTCTGAAAATAATCATAGAATCATAGAATGGTTTGGGTTGAAAGGACTTTCAAGACCATCGAGTTCCAACCCCACTGCTATAGGCAGGGACATCTCCTTCTAGACAAAGTTGCTCAAAGCCCCATCCAGCCTGGCCTTGAGTACCTCCAAAGAGGGGCATCTACAACTTCTCTGGGCAACCTGTTCCAGGATCTCACACCATCACAGTGAAGAATTTCTTCCCGATATCTAGTCTAAATCTACCCTCTTCCAGCTTAAAGCTATTTCCCCTTGTCCTATCACTACATGCCCTTATGAAAAGTCCCTCCCCAGATTTTCTGTAGGCCTCCTTCATGTAGTGGAAGGCTGCTATAAGGTCCCCCAGTGCCTTCTCTTCTCCAGGCTGGAGAGCCCCAGTTCTCTCAGCCTGTCCCTGCAGGGGAAGTGCTCCAGCCTACTGACCATCTTTGTGGCCTTCCTCTGGACCCGCTCATTGTCCTTCTTGTGTTGGGGGTCCCAGAACTGGATGCAGTATTCCAGGTGGGGTCTCAAGAAGAGCTTCAAGACTGTAGACATAAAAGGTGGTTCAGGAGATGAGCTCATACGTCTGGTGTTGTCTGATCCTCCATGTGTGATGCCTTAAGTATAGCTAACAGCTTTCTTTCTGTGTCCAGCGTCCAGTGGGTGCGGCATCGGACCTCTTGGGTACTACAATGGCTCGTTGGCTGTCACTGAGGCTGGGGCAGAGTGCCTGAACTGGGCAGAGTTCCCTGATTATGTTCAGCAGTACCCAGACCGTGGCTTAGGGAACCACAACCACTGCAGAAACCCAGATGGGGGAACTACACCCTGGTGCTTCTTCCGACTTGCATCAGGGGCCATCAGCTGGGCTAACTGTGACTGTAACCAAGGTAAGACTGTTTCCTATCTGCCAGAGCCTGGGCTACTCTGTCTTAAGGGGTTAAGGCTAGAAATGATGCTGCACAGACCAGTAAGTAGCAGTTAGGATAACCTGTGAAAGAAGAACAGTGCAGTAAGTGTCCCAGTTTGTCTAAAGAATTAGGACTAAAAGCTAGCCTGTTTGGGGATAAAACATCTGTATGTGCTAGGGGGTGGATTTAAGCTGCTATAGCCATGTCTTTTATAGATACTTTTATTCTCATACATGGAGAATTCTTTTTTTTTTTTTTTTTTTTTTTTTTTTTTTTTGTTAACTTAGGTAATTTTGAAAGCAGTTTGTTATGTGGAAAACAACCCACTCCAACTCCTTAAGTCTTCATATCAGAACTCTGCTCATGTAATTGTAGCAGCTCAAATACAGAAAAATCTTCTGTGATTAGATTTGTAAATCTTCTGTTGCAAAGTGGGTCCTAAGCTTCCTTTAGAATTCCTTGCAGTGCCAAAACAATGACTGCTGCTTATTTTGAGGCATGCAAGGAAGCTCTCAGTGCACTGATTTGTGCACTGTTTGTCCTCATCTGCCGACTTTAACTGCGTTTTGCAGAATGGATAATAAATGAGACAACAAATATCTTCCTTCAACAGTGTAAGTATTATTCAAAGTACTTCAAAGTTCAAAGTTAGCTTCATTAAAGTGAAGGCTACAACAAGCATGGGTATGCTGTGTGCCTACCACACCCTTACACTACTTCATGCAAGTCAGTGAAAGTACCATGAAACAGGATGTGAGGAATTGGGTCCAATTCAGCTCAGCTACACTCAGAAGTCCAAGACTTGCTCATCTGAAATGTCTTTTTTTCATTTTTCTTTTCTTTGCCTGGAAGGTGCTGTGCGGTTGGCTGAAGATAGTAGTGTGGAGCTGTACTTTGGTGGACTCTGGGGTACCATCTGTGCTGACCTCTGGACTGACTGGGATGCCAGTGTTGTCTGCAGGCAGCTAGGTCTCAGGTGAGAACCTCAGTGTGGCTTGAAGTGTTATGTGTTCATAGGTTCTTTGAGAGAACCGCCTCATTAATTACTGTCCTTCTGGAGTAATATGTAGGCTGTAGGAGAGGAGTTTGTCCTGTAGGCTGACTTCCCACTTGCTAGGGTCCTTCGCACCTGTGTTCTTTCCATGGCTATGCCTAACCCCAGTCAGCATTTGCAGAAACGGTAGTTTCTAAATCTTGATGTTCAGTGCTGTGCTGAGTGATTCGATTTTTAATATTGTCATTTTAGTATTACTGTACTGATCTTTTAGAAAATGTTGCAACTGTGAACCCTCTTTGGGAATCTCTTATTTGGCCTTTAGTCTTCCAAAGAAAAAGAGATTAGGTCCACAGAGAAGGAAGAATTTGATTCAGATATTTAGATGTGCTGACCATGTTACAATCTGTTGAAGGGTTTGTTTATCACTCTCCAATGAGGGTACCATTTCTGACCAGATCAACTCTGCTGCAGGGAAGATAGCATGTATTACATGGTGGGATAGTACTGCGTGCTTGCTTGCTTAGACTGGAAATGGCTATCCCTTTAAGCTCTCACAATTAATTGGGCTCACAAGACATGAAATGCCACAATTGGGCTGGAAAACAATTGTGAGTTAAGCAGTACAACAGTTTCATCATTCTGTTGCATTCTCCACACCAGTGAGATTGGCACAGCTGGGAAGAAGAATCGTCCTGGACTGTGGCCTATTCCCCTGCACCTGCAGTCAGCAAACTGCCATGGGGATGAGAAAACCCTCTTGCAGTGTGGCTATCAGGAAGCTGTGTCAGGAACTTGTAACCAGGGAAGCGCCATGGTAACATGTGTCCCTCCAGAAGGTAAATCTCCAAAGGGAGGTTCACTCCCTTTTTACTTGTGCCTAGTTCACTTGGAATCTAGTGCTGCTGATAAGATATTAAATCTGAGATCATGATGCTGTGGAGAGTAAATCATTGGAATGTATTCTTTTTTCACCTGCTGTGATGGTGATTACTTTCCTTCCAGTGGAAAATAATTTTTTTTTTCCCAATCCCAAGTACTTGCTTCCAAAATCACTGAAAGATGCTGTTGCTTATGACCACATCCCTTTTCATTCAAAACAGGTTTTTGTTTACAGGCAGCAAAGTCCTGGTCATTGTAGCAGCCAGTTAAAGAGCCATCCCTGGACTAGTGGCACCTCCTGCTGTGGCTTGCAGTCATTGATGTTTCTAGAGAGTTTGGAGGGGAGGAAATGGTAGAATGGAACAAGAGAGTCCCAGAAGTGGCTCTGGCTGGTGAATAGCTCTATGTCTTTAACTGCTAGATGTGCTTTGTCTCTATCTTGTTCTGTTTTATTCTTTTTCCTTTTTTGAAACACAGGTGTAGGTGCTCCATTGCGTTTAGTTGGGGGAAAGGAGAGCTTTGAAGGACGGGTGGAGGTATACCATGATGGCAAGTGGGGTACCATCTGTGATGACCAATGGGATGACCGTGATGCTGAAGTAGTTTGTAGGCAGCTGGGACTCAGGTACTTTCCGTACTGTTCACATGAAGTAGTAATAGAAGTAGTCTGAATAAAGAATGTGAGAGCATCTGTCTTCACCATATAGCACCATTCCTTTCTATGGAAGGGTAAGAAAATCTTGGGGAAGATAATTCCAGACTTAACATCTTGTCATGGGATTTTGTACTTAATTAGGTCAGTCAGTTTTATGGGTTTTTGCTGTGTAAAAAAGAGTTGGTTTAATCCTATCCAACGTTTGTTTGTGTTTATCCCTGTTCATTATTTTTACATGCTTGTATAATGCATGTATTTGTGGCTGCAGTGCTAACTTGCAGTGACTTCCACAGGTGAATTGCAGTCATTTATTTGTTTAAATTTAAACACCTTCAGTTTCACTGATTGTCTTTATCCTCTTCATTCAGGAGGAAAGCAAGAGAGCACCTCATTCTCTGTGCTATCCGACACTAAATGCAAGGAACTATTGTACACTAAATCAATTCTGCATAATTGCTCAAAATAGCTGAGTTAGGCTTGAGATCCTTCCTACTTTGGGAGTTTTGCCTTTCACTGAGATTGAGACATCATTGTCCTCAAATCATATTAAAGAACTTTCCAGTGAGATATATTGGTTAACCGTTGGCAACACCACTGTGTAAGAAACACAGATAAGCTATGGAAGGATTAGTGTAGGAGAGACTCTGGGAAACACAGAATCCAAGAGCACCAGTCTGTGACCTTCCTTACTGAATTTTCATGCATCTCTTGCAGTGGGAACCCGAAAGCCTTGTCGTGGGCTCACTATGGTCAGGGATCTGGCCCCATCCTGCTAGATGAAGTGGAGTGCTCAGGCAATGAACTCTCACTCGACCAATGCAAGAAGAGTGACTGGGGACAACAAAACTGTGACCATATTGAAGATGCTGGTGTCTCTTGTGACCCTTTCACAGGTACGTACTTACAGTTCTGTGCCAGTCAGATGCAGCCTTGCTCCTGTATTACGTAGGTGGAAATGAATCAGAGCCAGACAAGGTGGAAATGCTGAGGTATGGAAAGACTGAGGTATGTTCATTTTTTTAGTATCCTTAGGTAACTGTCTTTGGTTTCTTCCTGTCATGGGCTGTAGAGAGTCTTCAGCAGTGGGGCTTAGGCTGTTTATTCTCTCCCTTTCTGAGTGCTGATCTTTCCTTCTCCTACCCCTTGCAGAGGGCACTGTAAGGCTGACTGGTGGTCGCAGCCCCAGCGAAGGCAGGGTAGAAGTTTATTACAATGGAGACTGGGGCACAGTATGTGATGATGGCTGGACAGATCTCAGTGCCCAGGTGGTCTGCAGGCAGCTGGGCTTCAGGTAGGACTGAGAGCATTTGTAGTATCTGTACTTCCTAATGTCAAGGTTTAGATTCTATGTCCCTTTACTGGTATGGGCTGGACGTTACTTCCTTCAGTACTTCCTTCAGTACTTTGTCATTACCATTATGCAGTTTCATTCAGGAAAGAATAATAGGTGTCCACATCCTTTCCCAGGAAAAAATTAATATATGTATCTGTCTTAATTATTTCTTGCTTTGACCTGTTTTGAAAGTAGATAACAGGCTTAGTACTGTCTTAGTGAATCCCCCACCAAAGTTTGAATTTCTTCTTATTATTTCTTAAATTTTGAGATGTATCAGCTCAGCACTACCACCCTGTCTGCTCTGTCAGCTAAGCTTTATCACCTGCTAAACAGTATCAGCTGTCTGCACTGCTGCTAACCTATATCACCTGCTTTGGTACTTGAAGGAAGACCATTAGAACAAGAAAGAGTAGTGGTAGGGATTTCTTAATGGTCTCTATGAAAGCTGAAGCTGGTGAGGTGTGCCAGCTGATTGGCTGCTGTCTAATGTATCACTGAATAGCTGAGTAGAGAGACCACCAGTGCCACAGCAGATGTCTCCAGGTGAGTTTTCCTTTTGGTTTGAGTTTGGGACCCTCTGTGGGATTAGTGATTTACAATGACTTTGATGTTAACATTCTCTTTCTTCCCTCTAGTGGGCCTGCTACCCTGGCCTCTGAAGCAGACTATGCTGCTGGCCAAGGCTTTATCTTGCTGGATGATGTGGCTTGTGTGGGCACGGAGCTCTCCCTCCTGGACTGTCCCCATAGCAACTGGGGGCAGCACGACTGCTCACACGCTGAGGACGTGGGAGTCCACTGTTCCCCTGAGAGCAACACAGTCACTGGCAGCCTCGGTAACTTAACTTGTGCCTTGCTCTGGACAGAGGGAAAACATCACTTTCTGGTCTGATACTTTGGAAACTTTGGCAGATGTGGGATCTTTCCCTCTGCTGCCTCAATTAGAACTGGTTTTTGAGAAGGATTCATAGGCATAAGCCCTGGCTGTTTTGGGGCAGAGCCATGGAACTGTGGTTCTTCAAGATGTACAGCCAGACCTGTAGAGAGATGGAGATTGAAGAGAACGATTTTGATGGTCTCTTTGTTTATATGAGGCCTGTTACTGTTTTCTCTACTGCAGGAAACTTTCCAATTTGTCATCTTTTTTTTTTTTTTTTTTTTTTAATTCGAATATACACCATCCATTTTTTTTTGTTGTTTTTCCTGGATGTAGAGCACTTTTCTTGCCTAGAATAATGTAATAGTTTTTATAATTGAATGGATTTATTTCCAAGGCATGTTTAAGCTTGTCCGTTCTTGGCTCAGCAGCTAATAACTTTCTTTCTGCTCTTGTTCTCCTCTTTACTTAGCTTTCAGAAATATGATCTAATGATTTCCAGTGTGTATTTAATAAATTAATATGCACCAATTTTGCAAGGAAATGAAATGAGGGACATAGTGGTCAAATAGATCACCACTCTTCTCCTTCTCACCTCCTCCTCATCTCCTCAGTTTTTCCTATAAAAACTAAGTTCTGGGCACCTCATGCTCTTTGGTATTTTTGCTTGCAGCAACCCCTGTGTTTTTTCTTTCACAGGACCTCCTGTGCGGCTGGTGGATGGAGAAAGCACCAAGGAGGGACGGGTTGAAGTATTCCTGAATGGGCAGTGGGGCAGCATCTGTGATGATGGCTGGACAGACAGAGATGCTACAGTAGTTTGCAGGCAACTGGGCTTCAGGTAAGATAACTGGTACATGCATCTTACAAATACAAATTGCTCTCAGGAGGAATCTTCTTTCTGAACCTGTTTCTGGGAGATTCATTTCCCTTGAAATTTCTCTTTAAAACATGCTGGTGCATCAGTTTCACCTGCCTCTTGCTTGATGCACATTAGCCATTCTCTCTCTCATTGCAGTGGTGCAGCAAAAGCCAGGGCAATGGCTTATTTTGGTGAAGGCCAAGGGCCCATCCATCTGGACAGTATAGAATGTAGAGGCACAGAGCACGCTCTGGGGCAATGTGTCAGACCTGACACTGGGATTCACAGTTGCTGGCACGGTGAAGATGCTGGTGTGATTTGTGACTATGTGGAAGAGAAGGTCCAGGATATCAGGAGAACAGGTGATGTGCCCTTTCTTCTACACAGAAATCTGGGGCTCAAGGTTTAGGATTTCTGCATGCTTTTTCACTGTAGTTTTTATCTTTTTCGGTTGAAACTTTAACTACAAAATAAGCATGTTCTCTCTTGCAGCTCCTGGTTACTCTTCCTTTGTTTTCACTGTCTCTTCTAGTCTAGACTAGTCAGAGGAGCTCTAACCACGTCAGGTCTTTGAGCCTGCAGAACTTCCCTTGAGTCATATCATTATACTCTTCCTTAGAGCAGTAACTATAAGCAAACTTTGGGCTTTGGAGCACTGAGGAAAGCTGTAGAGCCAATTCTTGCCGTAGGACTACAGATTCTGGAGGTAAGCTCCTCCACTAAAACTGTGGAAACCATTGGGAACAAATCTTATAAATTCCTTTGCACAACACAATGCAGTCAACTACCAGGAGGATTAATGCCTTCAGGGGACAGGAGGGATATCTTGGCTCTGTGACAGCAGTTGTTGATACTTAAGCTGAAGGTATCTATCCAACTGTGCTAACTTTACTGTGCAGGTCCAGAGTCCAGTGTGTGTGGCATGCGCCTACTTCATCGTCGCAAGAAAAGGATCATAGGTGGAAACAAGTCTCTCAGGTAATTGCTGAGAAAGGCAGAACAGGTTCCAGCTTTCCTAACTTCATTTGAACCAATGGTCTATCTAGGGAAGAATGCTTGTCAGCTGAGCTCAGATAGGGCAGAGTGAACGGGAAAAGCGACAACTCCCGTGTATGTGATGCTTACTGTTCTTCTGTTTCTTCTTCAGAGGTGGTTGGCCATGGCAGGCCTCACTACGGTTGAAGGGTTTCCAGAGAGATACCCGTCTGCTCTGTGGGGCAACAGTGATCAGCAGTTGCTGGGTAGTGACTGCAGCCCACTGCTTCAAAAGGTGTGTTTGTAAATGGGAGCTCTACGGGATTCTCAAAGACGAAGATAACCTCAAATGAGGTTGTTCTCCCAACCCAATGGAAACACATGAACAAAGTTTCTAAACCAAGACCTTCAGGTTATGATGTGTGTGATTTTGGAGAACTTATGGGGATGACTCAATTTAGGCTTACGTTATCCCTCACTGCTTATACCTGCCCTCTTAACTTTGAAGTTTTACACCTTAAAGGGAACCATCATTTTGATATTAATCATAGAATCATCTCCCAGTACTTTAAGGAAATGTGAAAAGAGAAAGCCATGAGCCCGTTACTGTTACTGGGTTACTGTTGTAACCCTATCTATAGAAAGAAGTATTGTGCATGGTAAATAGTGACTGTAACAGCTGGCATTATCACATCTGTGGGAAGAGATCCCACAGTCCTGTAGCTGGCACTTCTTTATAAGTGTGTGGGTTGAGTCTCAAAGCAGTTGAGACTTGCATGAGTCTAATTCTCTGTTAGTAGAAATATCAAGGTATTGCATGTCTTTTTCTCTAGGTTTGGTGTTGATGTGCGACGCTACCTGCTGCGGGTGGGTGACTACCACACAGCTGTGAAGGATGAGTTTGAGAGAGAGCTGCCTGTGGAGCGGATTGTCCTCCACAGGAACTACTGGGCTGGCAGCAACGATAATGACATTGCCCTGGTCCGAATGCGAGGCAGAGAGGGGCATTGTCTCTCCTTCAACAGCCACGTTCTGCCTATCTGCCTTCCTGATAAGAAAGAGAAGTCTGACATAAACAGGCAAGCCTGCATCATCTCTGGTTGGGGAGACACAGGTAAGTGACAAAGCTCTTAGGAGCAAGATAGGGATGGGGAGAATCTGGACTGAGGAATCTATATGCACAATTATTTTACGTCTGTTCAATTCAAGGCCATGTTTTTAATGCTCCCATTATTTCTGCCAAGTGCATGGTGTCAAGGAACAGGAAATAAAGCAATTTTTGTGCCACTGTTTTCTTCCGATGTTGAGGTTGTCTTGAAGCCTGTCCATGATGGAAGTTGTGGTTGCCATAGCAATCTTCTGAAGCTGTGAGGGAGAGGAAAGCTGCCAGCTCATCACAGTTCTCTCCTTCTCTCCCCTTTCATGTTTGCCCACAACAGAGCCATTGCACATGCAGAGCTGGTGCACAAAATCTGTATATTGTTCAGGAAGGTCCCCATGTTTCCATGGTCTCCTGCCTTCTTTATAGATCACAGTAGTAAAGTGAGGGCTTTGCAGTGGAAGGAATGTTCCTCATAAATCTTGCTTGTAAAGAGCATGTGCCTAGGTAGTGAGCTGAGACAAAGTGCTCTTTCTGTACAGTAGGTGACCTTTCTTGGAAGTCCAGCCACTGTGATGAATCTCCCTGGATATTGTTCCAGGGACAGCTGGGCTCTGACATTGGTTTCTGCACAAGCTTTGAGAACCTGCTGTACATGCTGTTTTACACAACATTACTCTGAAACTTCTAGGTTAAAGGGAGGAGAGAATATTCTAGAAAGTATTAATGACTAAATTGTTAACACTGTCAAGGCAATGTTTTAAAATGTTGGGCTTGGTGGAGTTCTGACATGGATGCATTAGTCTAGGGACAGCTTTGAACTCTAAGTAAGACGTTGTGACCAGTTGTGCAGTCCTTTCCCACTTGGGGTTCGTAGATGCAAAGCAGGGCTTAAGGAAAGGAGGCCTTTCTGGGCTGCTGTGACTGGAGAAAATGCATATGTTCAGAAAGACTTGCTGCCAAAACACAAATAGCCCCAGGAGTTTTCTGTTGTTTTTGGACTTAGCCATCCTTTCCAGCTGTTTCTCTAGCTGTTACTCAAGTGTTTGATTGAAAATACAGATTTGCCTTTGAAGTCAGTTATACCAGGTGCACATGTCACTTTGGGGTGTCTGCAGAGGATCAAGGAGTAATTTAGTCATGTAATTCCTTTAAGTTATGCTGGTACTTAACAGCTAGAATCTCTCCCACACACCAAACCCATCTTTCTCAATGAGTTAACAACCTTGTGAACTTACTGTAAGTCCATAAATTACTTTAAATCTTGAGCACCAGAAGTTTGCACTCTAAGAAACGAGCCTTAAATTCTGATCAAGTCTATGGTAACCAAAATTTGAGCAAATAGAAATAAGTCTGGCCAAAGATGAGGTAAGCTCCCTTTGAATAATATTTGGATGCTTCTGAAACGTGTTCCAAAACTTCTCTGAGGACTGAGAATTTCACAAATGTTACTTCATTTATTCCTTTGTGAAAACACTGTCATTTTAGAGAGAAAGAAATGAAGGCTCAAAGAGGTGAAATAAGCTGAACAAAGTTCAAGTTATTCGTTGGCAGAACCAGGAGTAAGACTCATCCTTTGATCTATCCCCTTTCTCCAACCTCTTCCCTGCTTCTTTGATGTTACAGCTCTTTTTTGTGGTCTGGTTTTGCAGTTCTCTGAAGTTCTGGTCGTTCAGAGATGCTGAGTTTGGCCTAATTCTGTGCCACAATCTTGATGTGAAATGTACAAGTATCCATTTTTGTGCAGAGAACTGTTGCTCTAGGCTGCTGCTGTTGTCTGTATGTGAATTGGTTTAACTGGTCTGTTCTGTTCCAGGGAAATCTTATTCAAGAACACTACTGCAGGGGGTGGTGCCTCTTCTGCCACGGGAAGACTGTGAGGTCCGTTATGGGCAGAAGTTCACGAACCGCATGATTTGCGCTGGGAACCTCTCTGAAGATAAACGAGTGGACAGCTGCCAGGGTGACAGCGGAGGGCCACTCATGTGTCAGAAGTCAAATGGACGCTGGATCATTTTGGGAATCACTTCCTGGGGTTACGGGTGTGGTCGGAAGGATTCCCCTGGTGTGTACACAAAGGTCAGCAGATACGTACCCTGGATCAAGAAAGTGACCAAGCTAAAATGAAGATGTCTGAGCCCCAGGAACTTCAACTTGTCCTTCTCCCTGCAGCAGCTGAAAGCTGTGGCTTCTGGCCTGGGAGTGGTGGAAATGTATGTTTTCTTTTGGACACTGGGAAAGTAATTTAACATAGAACTGGGAGAAAAACAGCTGTGGTTGATTCTTTGGTCTCACTTTAGTTCTTAATCTCTGAGCAGACAAAGCAAGTGCACACTGGTAGGACAAATTAGCCTGTGTTGCTCTGACAACAAGTTTGAGTCCTGTAATGCAATCAGTGCTTCTTTCTTTGGCCCCAACACACGGAAATGGTAGAAATGAAGATATACCTGTCTCTGTAAATCTGTTCACCAGTTTTTGTATGTTCACACACTTGAAAATCACTGCAAAGACAGGTGAGATGCTTGTAAGTTGCTGCAAGCTCTGGCATACTTTTTCATAACATGTCTCTCTTCCATTCCAGAAATGAGAAGATTTGACCTGAGCTGAGGAGCAGGCTAACAATTGGCCTTTTTTTTCCCCTGATATGTCTCTAGGGGGAACCTTTTCTCTTCTGAATATTAGATTCTAAAAATGTCTGTCCCTGCTAAGAGGTGCTTGTCCTTCCAGCTGTAATCCTTGTGCCACACATTTCTGGTCAGATGCTACGGCTTTATTGCTGCTTTCTCAAAATTGTGGTTCTTCTGTGGTTTGTTTTTTGTTTCTCCATAAAGCAGCATCTCCTGGAATCAATTGTTTGTGTGAGAGTAAATCTTTGTTTTTAAGAGACAATAGCTTTCTTGCTCTCATGATTACTGTGAATGACTTAAAAATGTGACTTCAGTGTGACTGGAATAGACACCATTACTTTTCTTTAAATCCAAATATAGTGTTAAGTGTTCAGGTGTTGATTCACAGTTTAACAGCACTGCAGCGACTTTATCTTGATATTTTATTCATCATTATTATTAACTGCCCTTTGTGATCTTAGCCTTTAGTGTCTCTGTGTTCATAGTCCTCCTGTGAAGCATGGAAATACTCTGGAGTGTAGACACCAAACAAACACTAGAGTGAGTAGTTCTCTTGAGGTGCAAGACAGTTTCCTGCATTCCTGGAGTATATGCAGCCTTTGTACAACAGTTTCTCTCTTCTTTTTATGTTTCTCTTTTCATTCATCTCAGTGGAATTGGGTTGGCTTGACTTAAGGGTCTGCAAGCAGTGCCATCAAGCTACTACTGTTTTAGGGTCAGACCTTCTCAACCTGGACAGAAATAATACTGAGAGAATACAAGTGTTACTGAACATTTCAGTTTCTTCCTTCTCTCATTCAAACAAATGGACGTAATTTCCTCCTCTGAGGCCTTAATTACTTTCTAGGTTAATTGATTATTTTTGAGTAGGGAGAAAAATACAAAAGCAGAAGAGCTAAGTGTGTTAACAGTTGTGCAGCTCACAGTGGTGTGTTCTGTATACGTGTAGCCAAGCCAGAGAGAAGACAGGTCTGTTCATGAGCAGCCTTGGTGCACAACCAATGATCCAAACATGGAGTAATAATACAGTCTGAGACATGTGGAACTTTTGCCAAATGTGCATGTTTTGGATTCACTCAGTCACACACTAGCCGGCTGACTGCAAGGTCTGTACTCGAGGCACTGAGCTGTTTGGTACCTGGGAATTATCAAGGCAAGAATGGAAGACAGCACAACCTGTGGATTAGCTATGTCATATGATAGGACAAGTAGTGATAGTGTATTAGAAATTGCCTTGAGTTAAACAAGCAGTGACTGCCAGAAGTTTTAATTTCTCGTCTACAAAGCAGCTTAATCTAAAAGTGTTGACCTGCATAGGTGCCTGATTTTTGCTAAACTGAACAGTTAATTTACCTTCTCCAGTGATTACTGTACAGTTGGCTTACAAGTGCTTTAATGGACTTTGAAAATCGTACGTGGAAACTTTATTTTTAAAAAAGAATTAAAGGAATCTTTGAAACATGCAATGTTAGAACACCTGCAAATTGCCCTTTGAGACTGACCTGATCTGTTAGTGCCCCTTCTTGAGGGCTGAATGTCTGCAATGTGCTTGTGTTGATGACTCTATTTGAAGAGCTAGGCTTGGTCCTTGCAGTGCTGTGCTTGGCTCCGTGCTGCCTATGCTGTCCATGACTGCTGGCGGAGAGTCCCTAAGGCACAAGCTGCAGGCTAGACTGCTGGTTTTCTCTTAGGAGTTAAAATGAGAGGAGAACCGAGGACAGTTATGTTACAGACCTCTCTATTCCAGAGTGGCAGTAACAGTACCTGTTTGGGAAATGGGGAGGGATTTAGTTTTCACTTTCAGCCTCCCCCAAGCCTGAATGCTACATCAGCTCAAACGCAGTGCTGTCACGCCTCTAGTTTAACCTGGTTTGAACTTCTAGCTTATACTCATAACCCCAACAGGCTTAGAAATATAGAAAGGATTGAAGGTTTTTTCCCTAAGCCTACTTAACTTGTTGCCATTCAGGAGTTAGAAAAAATGCCTACGCAGCGTAAGTGAGACACAGACCTGGCACAGCATTCTGTGATTCCCATGTTCCAATTCAAAATATTTCCCCTGTATTTTGTCACCATGAAAGCTGTGAGAATCACGGTACTTAACATTCTGTGAGTCCTGAATGAGTTAGGAGGAAGGGAGGAAGTACCTCACCTGGTTTTACACTTACTTGTGCTAAGCAAACCTGCAAACACGCTTGTGAGTTGTCCTAGCCTGTTCAGAACATCACTGTTCCTCTTTGTGGCCCAAACCAAACTCACATGCTTTGCCACAGGGGATTACTGGAATTATCTGATCAGAAGACCAGCACTCAGCCACTCCAAAGTTGTATTTTGTACCTAACGTTGGCCAGCAGCAGACATGTCAAAGCACAGTGCGTGTGCATTTGTACTGAACAAGTTTTAACAGCCTTTTTCTTTTTTTTCTGGGAAATCTTGTTCTTGGACCATTTATGTTAATTACTTGCATTGCTATCACTGTTCTAATTAAAAGTACTAGTACTTCTCCCTCCAGGTATTGCTCAAACACTACGTGCTATACTTTCATGATTTTTTCTTTTCTGAAGTATCAATGTTTATATCCCAAACTTAAAAAAAAAAAAAAAAAAGTGTTGTAAACATCCTTCGTCTTTCACATAAATGTTTAATCTCTTATTTAATCCAACTAAGCTTTACAGCCTCAGTATTTTCTGACAATAAGAACCAATAGAATTTCATTCTCCACAGTACAATCGTCTTTTTATAGATCCTGAATGCATTGCCTTTTGTTTTTACTGAATCCCATCTATCCTTGTGTTCTCAACTATGAGAGGAAATGAAAGCCCTTGCTTTATACTCTTGTCCATTACGCTACAAACAGTCTTTTGAAAACTGTGACTTCTCTGTCTCTCTTCATTCCAAACTGCCTAGGTACCTGATAACATACGAGCTGTCTCTCCACGCCTTCTCTTTCTGCTGGGTCTTTAAGCTTTGGTAACCAGAACTGAAAACAGTTTGTGAGGGGAAGATGTGCCATCTGCTGATTACTTTCAGTATTTTCAATAGTAGGCAATGCTGTAAGTGTTCAGTGCTGTGTGTGTATTATGTATGTATGCTAGCTTTGAACTTGCTGGTGTGGTTTTAGTGGCAGCCCACCTACAGCAAGGTAAAAACCAACCAAGGTTGATTCACCCAGTGTCTGGCAGCTGCAGCAGCCCCTTCAAGCACAGCCAGCTGCTGTAGGTATATCTGTGGAACAGAACGTGGCTCTGGGCAGGGGGTACCTGATGAGTCCTTAGCAGCGTTCGTTGTCTGGTTGAGGCTAATGCCCATTCCTTCCTTCCAGGAACTGATAGTTCAGTTACTGGCATCTGCGGTGCGCTATGGGGATGCTTTGTAAGACAAGTTCCTGCAGTAGTGTGGTGCATGTTGGTTGAATAAAAAACAGTGCCTCTGTGACTGGGGAGCATTTGTTAGATAGAGTGTCTAAGGAGCACCTAACATGGCTCCTGTTAGCCCTCTTCCTACAAGAATACCCCGGTGCTCTACAAAGGCGGACCCAGTGCTAGTGCCTTCCTGCCCTCTAGGGGCTACATGGGTACTCTCATCAGCCCTGTCTTGACACCAGTCCAGGCTTTGGCCAGTTGAAGCTGGATTAAAGATTTATCCATTTCCTGTAGCTGAATGCTTTTCAGATGATTTATAAGAATTATGTTTCCATGCTGTAATTAATTGGGCAGCTATTTATGAACCTGAACAGGATTTCAATTACTCCTGTAATCCTTGTACCTCTGTAGCAGAGAATAACAAATCAGTTCCTCAAAGGTATTAGTGGAGGGATTGGTTAGGAACTAGGAACATCAGTATTTGCTGTCTCAGGGATAGGAAAACAGGGTTTGCTTTATGTCTGTCTGCCTTATTTTCTGAAGCCAATATCCTGAAGACCTTTCATCCCCGAAGTAACTGTTGTGATCCATCAACCACTTATAGACACGTTTTTATGTATATAAGAGGAAGGTTATTAGTAGCTGAACTGCAGTGCAATACGTAACATCTTCTTGCTAGCTTTTCTGGGAGTTCCCTGCAGCTAGAAAATGTGGGCATGGGAATAGAATGGTCACTGATGGTAACCAGCCTGGAACTGCTCCCGGTGGGATGAGGCACTGTGACCTGGAGCAAGGGCTTGGGCTGTGTTTTTACTTATTCAAGAAAATATTTAATTTCCCACGTCAAGAAGGAACATTTGTTCAGCCCACTCAGTCCTATTAAAAAACCTTTCAACTAACAGGGGCCTGAGTAGCTCTGAAATCAGTCTAGTGCCAAAACTGTCATGTCCCCTGGATCAAAACCAATGACTCACAAGATATGCTAATAAATTAATTGTGCTGTGACTGTGTGGGGTTCTGTCTTATTTTTAGTATAGGATCCTGTTCCAAGGGCAGGTTTTAGGATTTTTTTTTCAGCAATGAATTATGCTAATTAAATTTTTGTATTAATGTTATTTCTAGAGGAGCTTTAATATGTGAAAGAATGTTACAGAGTCAGTTATCCTATTAGCTACCATTAAAATGCAACACAACAGCTCTTCAAATGCCACATTTTGTGGCCATTTGGAACAGGCAGAGGGCACCTACAGATGAACTCATGCTCAAAACAAACAGGATTTGATATATCAGTTTCTAGTTCATTGTTGTTGTTGATCTTTACACACTACTTTTGAATGAACTTGTTCAGCATGATTTTGTCTCATTTGATGCTAGGATTCATGTGTCACCGAGTGAAGGACCAAAGCCAAATTTTGGATAAGAACCAGGAGGAATGAAACGTAATCTGATTGGGACACTGATGTGAGAACACTGTTTTCTTCCTCCCCTCCAAAGCTGAAATTGTATTACTGCATAAAAGGTCTGTTTAGAAAAGCAACCCACTGACTGCTCCAGTGACTTTCTCAAGTTGTTAGGGTTTGTCTGGGGTTTGATGTGGTGATGGCTGCAGGTACAAAATATTATAGCGTATAATTTCTTGTGCATGCTGTCTCCAGTCTCCTGTTGGGAACCTACGTGCACTTGCTAAAGAGAGCGCAGCTTGTGGTTAACACCTCCCTTGCTTCATGTTTGACTTTGAGGTTTCTACACCTACGTGTTTCTGCTTCTCCTTGTGTGAAGCTGAGAGCTCATGGCTGAGGTTTTGCAAGAGTGTCTGGTGTGCACATATCAGTGGGCAAAGCTGAGTTAAGGGTGTTTTAGTGGTCTTAGGCACTGTTTCACCAAGTAAGCTCCAAAGCAG